TGTTTATTCAATAAAAAAGAGGGAAATGAAAATATATATGAGTGTATGAGTACATGTTGGTTTTTTGGTTATCCAAACCAAAACCAATAACAGCCCTTAATGGTTTTGGTGTTTGCGAATTTGGTTTTTGATTTTTCGTACTTAATGATTTGGTTAACCAAACCAAACCAAATTGACAACCCTACTCACTCATATATACGTAACTTATCCGTACAGTAAAAGTACTAAGATAGATAAACAGAGAGTGATAGATAGATAGATAATTAGATACCTCCAGAACATGTGTGTGCTGTTGGATTTGATCCGAACGGCTCCTTCTGTGGTGGGGAACACCTGAAACCCTGCATTGGGATCGCCAATGTCGTCGCTCGAGAACTGAAAGGCCGATAATACAATCTGCATCAGAGGGACAACGCGGAGGTACAGCCCGTTGTCGCCCTTGAAGGCGACGTTTCGAGGCAGCACGAGGAGGGATTCCCAATCCACGACCTCGCAGACGTCCATGAGGTTCGCCTGGGGCTCTTCCCGTCCGGCGTACAGGAAGTTGTCGTAGCGACCGCCGTCGCGGAACGGGCAGGCGTAGCGGTTGAGCTGGACGTGGAGGAACCGGGCGGAGATGGCGGCGGCCATGTCCTCGTCCACGACGGGTTTGAAGAGCGTGCATGTCCACTTGGAACGGTCGTCCTCGGGCCGGGCCGCTGCGGCCGAGATCCAGAACTGGTCCGGGGCCGACCGGGCCAGGTACTTGTTGTTGTAGACGCATCGGATGTGGACCAGGCCCTTGGCCGTGTTGGAGGGCTCGAGTTGGAACCTGGACTTTGGGTTCGTGGGTTGTTCTTCCGTGAACTGGAGGAGGCCGTGCTGCTCGTCGTCTTCGTCCGTGTAGCGCAGGTACCTCTCGTACTTCTTGTGCTTCAGCACCACGGTTTGAGGCAGCACCTGCGAAAGGTCCAGATCTGATTCCATATTAGAGGCAGTTTCGTACTTTCGTCTCATCGGCTGGCCGAATTCAATTCCCCACGTTTTTTTAACCCAAAAACATACATATATGGTGTTATCAACTAAATTTAGCCTTTCCCTTAAAAAAATTCGGGCAAAATTTAGCAGCAACCCAGGTGGCGCCTAGTGATTGGGGCCAAAACTAATATTTAATCTTTTAATTACTAACTAAAATTAGAAGAAGTCGGAAACGGAACGGAGAAGTATCGGATAGTCCGATACTCTCTTTCCCCTATCAATAAGGAGTGGGATATATATGGAATAGATACAATTTGGTTGCATTCATTTTCTTTTAATTAATTTTTAGATTTTGGCTTTCAATTTTTTCTCACCTGTTGGATATTTATTCCCTTCCACTAAACTTTATTTTTTGACTATGAAGATGAAGAAGAATGGTTTAAAGGTCGGATGTTATGCTTAAAAAGTATGATATGGAGGATAACAAATGGTTGGATGGAATAATCTCAAAAGAAAAAAGTAGGCTATGTTTGTGGGCTTCATATATTTGTTGTTGATATAAAGAGTACAAAACATAGTGAATCAATTAATAGTGTGTCAAAGAAGTACCTGAATCCGGAACGCAATACGGTATAATTTTTTTCATTCGCGTTACAATTGCCAATCTCCTAACTCGTAACCATTATAATATAATAAAAAAGATCACTTATTTGGAACTCGGTGATTAAATTTATAAATGTATTTTAAGCACTCGCTTATGACATAATCAAATTCTCTTATTTGCAAGCGGGCCATTGCAGCCTAGTGTTTGAAACATTAAACATATTTGAATTGAAATACTTGCGAACAACAATATAACATGAGTTTAGACAATCTTTCGAAAGGAAACTAAAACAGGAGAAAACATAGCAAGCTTATCTTCATTGTCTCTACATATCCTCTTGTTCCATCATCATCATCTGATACAATATTACCTCTTATTGCTTGTCCCATTTCTCCTCAAGATTTCAGGGTTTTCTTGCTTCATGATGACGAGTAATATCTTGTATTAGGAGCTTGATGTTGGTATGAGAAGATCCTCCTTCTTCTAGGGCTACTCTCGACATTTCACCGAGTTGCTTAACTCGATTCCTTCTCTTCTCCATTTCAATCCCTTTGCCCATCAACTCTTCTATAGCTTTCTTCACATCTTCTTTCCTCACCGTCACTCCAGCCTTCTCTTCTTCTCCCCATGCCACGGTAGCCTTCGCCCCGATTTTCACTCCAACATTCAGCACGTCCACGATCAATCTCTCGTTGCAGAACTGGTCCGCGAACAGTGGCCAAGTTGCCATTGGTAGGCCTGCACTTATCCCTTCCAACGTCGAGTTCCATCCACAATGCGTTAGAAATCCTCCGATTCCAGGGTGGGAAAGGATGGCCACCTGCGGCGCCCATCCACGGATCACGAATCCTCGACCTTCGCTCCTCTGCTCGAAACCGCTCTCTTCCATCCATTTCACCAAATCTTCTGACGCCTCACCCTCCCTCACAACCCACATGAATGGATGGTTTGATGCTTCTAGCCCCAGCGCGAGCTCTATCAATTGTGACGTCACAATGTTGCATATACTTCCGAAACAAACGTAAATAACCGAACCGGGTTGTTGCGAGTCGAGCCACCCTGAGTATATGGATTCGTCTGCTGCAACCGGACTACCCCTCTGGGACCGGTCCAACCGGTCCTTATTACACGACGAGACAGGGCCCACACACCATGCCTTGCCTCCCAATGCTTCTTTGAACAATGCGAAATACTCGGGCTCCAACTCCTGGAACGAGTTTATAACCGTACCATACGACATCGCTTCGGCAGCTCCTATCCTCTCACCATACCAAGCCCAATCCACCGCACCACCGACCATAGCCAAGGGCAGCTGGCTCTTGGTCAACTCGATCCGGTCGGGCATCCCGGGGACCAGGAACGGCTCGGAATCGGAATCCAGACCGTCGAGAAACCCTACGTTGGCTGCCACATTGCGAAGGCACAACAGGGCAAGGGATGAGAAGCCATTGAAGGTGATTCTTGGGATGCCATGTTTCTTGGCAAGCAAGCTGGTGTAAGGGAAGGACATGTCGGAGATGATGCAGTTGGGCCTGGGCCTGAGGCCTTCAAAGAGCTCCTCCACCACCCGCCCAAACAACAGGTCGCTCTTGTTCATGAAGGCGATCGCCAGGCCCAACGAAGGCAGCTGGTCCAAGTTCTCGCACCGTTTCGACAACCCGACTTCTTCACACGGGGCCTCGACCTCGACCTCCTCCACACGTATGTCGATGCCAGGTGGCTCCATGGCACGTGCGAGCGAGGACCGGACCCGCTTCGCGTTGACCGGGGTGGTGATGAGGGTCACTACGACGCCGTGTTGGGCCAGGAGCTTGGCTATGTCGATCATGGGGATCAAGTGGCCTTGTGCCATTAGAGGAGTCAGCACGAAATGAAGCTTGCTTTTAGTTTCGAGCTCGGGAGCCATGGAGTTCGAGAAAGCTTTTGGCTAAGTGAGAGGGTATAGAGAGATGGATATGAGGAGAGATTTGGAGCAATGTATAGCAATATAATTTGTGGGTGGAAATGTGTGTGTGTATATATAGCTTGTTCCCATAAGAAATGACGAAAGTATTGATTATTAAAACATTAATATTGGGACATAGTTTTTAACTAACTCCCTGAAATCGAAAGCTTATAATTTACAATATGGAGTTTGCATTACTTGTTGCGGGCAAAAGGACAGAGTGGCACGATAATGCCAATGTTATGTATGCTCTAAATGAAGGAAATTGTTTTTCTTCCAAATTTATGATAATATTTAAGGTAACATTGAACCTCATAAGTGTTTCCTCTATTCATGTAAGAGTAGTTAATCATGTGAAGCACTAAATTGCTCCACTCGAGTTGATGTGAGAACCTAAAATTAATCATGTATCGACTATTTCCTATATGTCATTTCATACGAAAATTAACTTATGAGTTTGAAGTTTGTACAAACAAATCATACCATTTGATTAGATTAATGGTTTTATTGAGGTCCTCATGATTCGAACATGAGGATTCTCAGTCCAAAGGCTCTTACAAAGCACAACTTATAGGTTCTTGAAAAATGCTTCGTTCTCATGACTCGCGGACCTAGTTTTGAAACTAAATTCAGACGACTTAAGCATCTTCGGATGTGGACATACACATTTAAAGAAGTAAAAAGAATTGTGTAGCTCGTAAAAGTTTATTCCTAAATCAAACGTAATTATTCATGGAGTGGTTTATCATTTCACTGATTTCGATTACTAGGCTAGACGTTGACAGGAAATAGAAGAGGCCAATTGCTTTCGCAATTCGCACAAAACAAGTTTGGACATTTTCGAAGAACGTTTTGCATGGAGAGGGATCGGATCCATTGGATTCCTGACAATTGGAACAAGGGATATGCCTCGGGGACGGCAACCCAAGGTCCCGTTACAAGAAAAAGACGATACATTTTTGGAAGAGGACTTGTGGATTCTTCCCTAATTGATCTATGCAAATTGCCAAAAAGGCTTTTTTTTCTCCCTTTGTTTGTAGTTTGAAGTTCCTTTCATTTTGTAACTGGGAAAGCTGATTGAGAAAGCTTGAACTATCCAAATGGCCGTCTGTGTGTACAGTGCAAGGGCTGCGAATTGCGATAGACTTTCTTTTTTCAATTTTTAATGGAAGATCTGTCTCCTGATCGTGTTTTCATCACTTTAGTATCAATTACCATGAAATTCATACTTTCTAAAGTCGTTTGGAGGTTGGGATTTCAAGTGATGTATTTAGTCAATATATGTAATGTTAAAGATTAAGTTTTTTTCCGTTAAATTTGAAATAGAATACATGTATTACCTTTTTTATGGGCTCACCTATAATCATTCAAAATGAGTGATTATCAATCTCTATCAAATAGAATACATGTAACTACCCAACTTTTCTTGAGAACAAAAACACAATCTAAACCTCCAAACAATGTATTTTTCAAATTCATACATTGAATCAATGCATCAAATTACAATATTAATTAAATACATTGAAAATTTTAACTTCTAAACAACCCTTGTGGGCTCTGATGGGCTTACTTGTGCATGCAAGCAGACCCCCAAGTTTTTGGATAGCCTGGGCTTGCGCGTGTGGGCATGGACCCAGAGTCCGATGCTCAATGCTGGACTTTTGTCCCTCGCTGGCCATTAATTTTTTCAAACTAATCTGGTTTTTTCCATGGTACATGAAATAGTAAATATGTTTCAACCACGAAATATTAGTATTGGAGGTTAAATCGATAGATGGTATTTAACAGTACTAGCAATTGAACTACTGTTAAACCACAGTTTTATCATCAATTATCCTACCGCTAACTTTTCCGATACGATATCTGGTACAGTTTCATGGACCATGGTTTTTTCTCGAACAAATAATGGAAACTAAAATAGAGCACACACATAAGTTGTTACATTATATGTAGCGTAATATTTTCTTATTTAAGGATGCTTGCTTTCATGTTGATGAAATATGTCTTGTATTAGCTGCTTGATGTTGATATATGAAGACCCTCCATCTTTCATGGCTAATTTCGATATTTCACTAAGCTTTTCAACCCTATTCCTTCTCTCTTCCATTTCCTCTCCTTCACCCATCAATTCCTCAATAGCTTTGGTGACATTTTCTTTCTCCACCGTAACTCCAAACCTCTCTTCTTGACCCCATTTCATCATAGTGTCCACCGTAACTCCAAACCTCTCTTCTTGACCCCATTTCATCATAGTGTCGACTCCGCTCTTCACTCCGATCTTCAACACATCCACGATCAATCTCTCGTTGCAGAACTGATCGCCGAAAAGGGGTCATGTCATCATTGGTATTCCTGCACAAATTGCTGTCAGTGTCGAGTTCCATCCACAGTGCGTCAGAAACCCCCTGACTGCTACGTGGGACGGGATCACGATCTGCGGGGCCCACCCGCAAATGAGGAACCCTCGACCTCTAGTCCTCTCCTCGAAGTCACTCTCTTCCATCCATTTTAACAGATTCTTTGAGGTTTCCCCATCTCGAACAACCCACATTAATGGGCGGTTCGACCCTTCTAATCCCAACCCAAGCTCTATTAGTTGTTGAATCGGGTTGTTACATATGCTTCCTAGACAAACATAAATAACTGAACCGGGTTGTTGTGAGTCGAGCCACTTTGAACATTCAGATACATCCACTAGAGAGATTTAATCGAGACTGTTACCTTTAATACATGGGAGCATACAAGAAAATATTTCTTTTTTCCTTACACTAAGTCATATCGTGACGGGTTCAACTAATTCAGCCTAGCAAATAGCAAATTTCCAGAGCTCATAGCTAATGAAATTTCACAAGGAACAAGTAACTAGTTTTTTTTTTTTTAAATGGTACAAGTAACTAGTTAAGAAACCAATATTTCACTAATTTTCCTACTCAACATAGCCTCCTCACATTTCTTGGACGTATGTTGCATGATGTCTTGAATCAAGAGCTCGATGTTAAGATAAGAGGACCCTCCTTCTTCAAGGGCCAGTTTGGACTTTTCACTAAGCTCTTTGGCTCTCTTCCTCCTCATCTCCTTTTCATCTCCTACACCCATTAGTTCCTCAATAGCTTGCCTCACATCTTCTCTATTAATCAACACTCTCGTCTTCTCTTCTTCTCCCCATTTCACCGTGACCTCCGCTCCGACCGCCACTCCGATTTTCAACACATCCACAACGAGCCTCTCATTGAGAAATTGATCACTAAAAAGCGGCCATGTCACCATTGGCACGCCAACACATACTCCTTCCAACGTTGAGTTCCACCCGCAGTGCGTCAAGAATCCGCCGACAGCAGGATGTGACAGGATCACCATCTGCGGTGCCCATCCACGAACTATAAGTCCTCGACCTTTGGTCTTCTCCTCAAAAGAGTAATCTTCCATCCACTTCAACAAACCTTTGGAAGTCTCTCCCTCCCTAACCACCCACACAAACGGGCCGGTCCAAGCTTCCAGGCCCAGCCCAAGCTCTATCAGTTGTGGAGTTGGGATGTTGCACAAACTGCCCATACAAACATAAATGACTGAACCACATTCCTTAGAGTCGAGCCACTTCAAACATTCCGATTCGTTGATCGTCGACCGAGGGTTGCCCCTTTCAAACCGGTCCAACCGGTCCTTGTTGCACGACGAGACAGGGCCCACGGACCAGGCCTTGCCGCCCATGGCAGCCTTGTACCTCGAGAAGTATTCTTGCTCCAGCTCGTCAAACGAGTTGACGATCATCCCGTACGAGTAGCCTTCCGCTTCCACCACCCGCTCGCCGAGCCGGTCCAACCCGCCGGTCATGGCTATGGGCAGCTGGTTCATCGTCACCTCGACCCGGTCGGGCAACCCGGGCACGACGAACCGTTCCGAGTCGGAACTCAGGGTCGCCAGCACGCCCTTCTCGCTCTCCAGCAAGTCGGCCCCTTGGTGTATGTTGCGGAGGCAGAGCAGGGTGAAGGCCGAGAACCCGTTGAAAGTAATCCTCGGCACGCCAAATTTCCTGGCCACGGTGCTGGTGAAGGGCAGGCAGATGTCGGAGATCACGCAGTTGGGCCTGGGCCTGAGCTCCTCGAAGAGCTTCTCCATGGGCTTCTCGAGAGCCTGCACGGAGTACATGAGGGCGGCCCCTTGGCCCAGAGAAGGGAGCTGGTCCAGCGTCTCGCAGTGCTTCGGCAGCAGGCCCACTCCGTCGTCGGATGGGAGCTCGAGCTCGGCGACGGTTATTTGGACGCCGGTGGACTCCACGGCGCGGGAAACGGTGCCGCGGATTCGGCCGGCGTTGACCGGGGTCGTGACGATGGTGACAACGACGCCGTGTTGGGCTAAGAGCTTGGCGATGTCGGTCATGGGGAGCAAGTGGCCTTGCGCCATGAAAGGGACTAGGACGAAGTGGAGCTGGCGTTGAGGTAGGGGCTTGGAAACCATGGTGGGAGGAAGTTGGAGGAGATAGTGGAAGTAGAGGGAGAGATGGGTTGTTTTTGTGGCATTAATAGAATGTAGATACATATATGCATGTTCATGGATTTTGGGCTCTTTTTCTTGAATTTTATGTGGATGGAAATACGAGAATTTCAATGGAGGAATGAGAAATGGTGGGGACGAAAATATTATTTGTAGCTAGCTACAATAAAGAATTAGGCTTCATTTGTGGTCATCAATAACGAGAGCAAATTGAATGAACTTGATTTGACCATTAATAAGAAGATTTTTAGGTTTACGTTAGGTTTTCAAGGTTTTAACAACCTTTTATGATTAGAGAGAGATTCTGATTTGAATTTTGACATTTCTATGTTAATATTAAAGCTTAAAAAATAATTTGAGAGAACGTGTTAGAGAGATATGAGATTCTAGGATGTATTTTGTGGAAATTTCTTGCTTTGCAAAGTTAGATAGGACAAATGTTTTGATTAGGGCAGATGATAATTTCGACCTCACCCAAATCATTCGATTTGTTTGATTTGTTTTGAGTGGGTAACACACGCCTCGTAGCTGGGTGCATGATTGTGTATGAGTACTCATCTCGACCTGACATGTCATGATTCCCTATTATCGTCCTATTTTTGCCTAAATTATATGTAATACTACTCCAATTACTTGTAATTTTACTTTTACAACTTCATATTTTAGCTATGCTAAAGTTGTAAATAGGTAAAAGTCTTAATTTCTCAAATAATTTAACAACATTTATCATGTTATACTTTTTTTCTTGATTTTGTTGATGAAAAGACGATTATTTCTAATATTTCCTCTTTAGTTACGTACCCATATGAGTTTACCTGTCCCAACTCGCACCCTGTAATAAATTATTCGACTTGTACCCTACCTGCATGTGACGGCTCGCTTCAGCCTGTCCATTGACATTCTTAGTTTAGACTCGTGTTTTATAATATGGTTCGACTCATAATACAAATCTCGAACATTGGGACAATTACATATTGTAGCTAGAGCTATGAACTTCTTTTGTTTCCCAATTTCTGAAATTCATTAGGGTTAATCCTATGTGCAGTAATTTAGCTACTCTCCCCAAATGTCTGTCCATTTATCCCCTCTCTGCATCGGCTAATGGGGGAGGAACGAACTTGTGGTGAACAACGTCGCCACAGCACCAAGCAGACAGGGTTTGATTGTGTAAGAGTTGTGTCAAAATGTCTGTGTGGTCGCAATGAAAGGAGACTTGTCATTGTTTAATTTTGCAGGGAAGTCCCAACGGGAAGAAAAACGTGTCTACTGTCTACTAGCATATTCTTTCCCCTCTGAATGTCTACTTGCATATTCAATTTCATGTTAATAAAAGATAACATCTTTGTGGTTTTGGATAATACGATATCCAACTAATAACTCGAGTTGTTTGTAGATGTTCAATATTAATCTTATAGTACATACTAATAATTGTTATGCCGTAATTTTCTTTTGTACGAAGAAAAATTGATAGAATCAAGTATAGAATCATTCCACCATTAACCAAAAAAAATATTCATACCACTATGATACACTTCCATACCACCATAGTATAATCCTATGGTACTACTACTTGGCGCAAAGTGACAACTCCTTTCATCCCGTCATTAGTTTCAACTTCAACGATAATGTGGAGTGAGTCCACAGAGGTTGCACATAGCACCAAGAATAAACTAGGCTTTGTCCTAGGCACGATTCAGGTACTCGATATCTCTGATCTTTCTTCTGACACTTTGGATAGAATAAATGAGACATTGGTATGTTGGATTCGAAACTCAGTTTCAGAAGATATTGTTGTTAGTAAATGGTATATGATCCACGATTGAACCTCTCGCAACAACTCGAGTTATTGGGATCAACTTGTTCTTGACATGGTATCAGAGCCTTCGGTGATTGGGAGGTGTTCTGTTTGAATCTCGGTGATCCCCATTTGTTTATGTTAAGCACATGGTGTCTGATGCCTGTGCAAACTTCAAGCCCATATATGGTGGCTTTCGTTTGAGGGGGTGTGTTAGTAAATGGTATATGATCCACGATTGAACCTCTCCCAACGACTCGACTTATTGGGATCAACTGGTTCTTGACAATTGTATCCAACTTAGGAAACATAAAAATAGCATATGAGACTTGAAATTTTCTTAGATCTATGTTAAGCTAAGGAAATTATGTGAGAATCGCAAACCTAGAAGAGAAAGGAATTAGACTTGTTCATGTTGACATATGGGGGCTTGACGATATGGTATCTTATGAATGATTTAAATATTTTCTAATTGTTGTGGATGACTTCTGTAAAAGTGTGTGGTTGTTTCTAATGAGTAATCAAGTATGATAGGGGGCAAGAGTTTCAATATGCCTTCTTTTTATAAAGAGCATGACATTTTACATGAAATGAGATGTGTTAAGACAACACATCAAAATGGAAGGGTGAAATGCAAACATCAACACTTGTTGAATGTTGCCAGAGCACTAAATTTCAGTATGGTGTTTCCACTTGTTTTTGGAGTCATCTGATATTGCAGGTTGCATACCTCATTAACAGAACTCCTACACTTGCTTTAGAGAATAAGATACCATTTGAATGTTTGTATGAAGTTCCACTAGAATAGAGCTCTTCAAGGATCTTAGGTTGTATGTCTTATGTCATAGTATTGGATGAACACAAGAGGAAGTTTGCAAAGAGGGCAAGGAGAGTAGTGTTCTTGGATTATACTATTGGGATAAAAGGTTTCGAACTCTATGATATTGAGACTCATGATGTTTTCATAAGTAAGGATGTGAAGTTTGTAGAAGAGTTATTTTCTTTTAAAGCAGAAGAGAGTAGCACAAAAGAGCATGATCATACACACGCTAGTCCAAAACATACATTTGAAGACTGACAAACTTTTAGTCTTCCTCGAGATCATAATGTTCATGAAACACCTGATTCTGATTATTATCCTTCTGATGCAAAAACATCATCTCCCTCCATTTACCCATCACCATTTTCATACTCACCACAAACCACAAGTTCCTTCCTCTTCTTCCTCACCTTCCACAATTCCACAAGGCACATTACCAATGGCTCTTTGAAAGCCATAGAAATTACCCAAACAACTAGTGTATTTGCAGGACTTCCACATAGCTTTTCTTGCTAATAGTTCATCTGGGAATCATGATTCTAAGTTGGTTTATCCCTTTTTATCACTTATCCTATTCCAGTTTATCCCCCATTCATAAACATTGTACCTTTTTTTTATCTCTCTTAAACTAATCCTCAAAGGGTTTATAAAAAACTAATCCTCAAAGCTACTCTCAAGCTATCACTGAAAGCTATTGGCAACAAGCTTTTCATGAGAGGAGTAAACACTTTGATGTAAGGTATCATTTTTTTAGAACATATAAGAGAATTAAGATGAAGAAAGTGGCAATGTTGATAATCCTGTTGATATGTTCATGAAGCGGATTCCACGTAGCAAGTTCTAGCATTGGTTGGACTTGTTGAATGTCCCGAGTTGATGAAGTCCTCAGGGGCATTGAGGCAAGGGTGAGAGGATCTGAGTACATATGATATTTGGAGGGAGAATTCAACTTAAGGTGGAGATTTGTTGATATAACTTGAATCAAATTATATGAACCTGGTTTGTAACCTTATTCTTTTCCATATGGGACTAAGGTTAGGCCGTTTGGAGAAGTAGTATATATTTCTCATATCTCCTTAAGTATAATGAAACTGACTCTCTCCCGCCTGTAGACTAGCTAACACACATTGTGTTAGTAAATCACGTAAATCTGTGTGTTCTTTACATTCTTGCATATACAATTATCCTGATCCATTCTAATAACATTATGGAGCTCATCTTATACGTATAGCTATATAATACTTTATTACATATATTTAGGTTTAGATTTAATGTCATGATCCGATTCACATAGTTAGGGTAGCTACAATCTCCCCCATTTGGACTTTTTCTTCAACAACTCAATCACTAGCTGTATTTTCAGTGTTTTCTTCTTATTCGTCGTTCTAAATTTACCGAAATACATTCAACTAATTAATTAACCCTTGCAAATATAAAATTCCATAGCTCATTGCTAATGAAATTTCAAAAGTAACGATTAAGTAATTAATTAAGAAACCAGTATTTGACCAGTTTTCCTACTCAATATAGCCTCCTCACATTTCTTGGACGTATGTTGCATGATGTCTTGGATCAAGAGCTCCATGTTAAGATAAGAGGACCCTCCTTCTTCAAGGACCAGTTTGGACTTTTCACTAAGCTCTTTGGCTCTCTTTCTCCTCATCTCCTTTTCATCTCCTTCAACCATTAGTTTCTGAATAGCTTGCCTCACATCTTCTCTCTTGATCAACACTTTTGTCTTCTCTTCTTCTCCCCACTTCACTGTGTCCTCTGCCCCGATTGCCACTCCGATCTTCAACACATCCACGATGAGTCTCTCGTTGAGAAATTGATCGGCAAAGAGTGGCCATGTCACCATTGGCACGCCGACACATACCGCTTCCAGAGTCGAGTTCCACCCACAATGCGTCAAAAAACCCCCGACTGCGGGGTGTGACAAGATCACCATTTGTGGTGCCCATCCACGAACTACAAGTCCTCGACCTTTGGTCTTCTCCTCGAAGAAGTACTCTTCCATCCATTTCAACAGACCTTTGGAAGTCTCTCCCTCCCTAACCACCCACACGAACGGGCCGGTCCACTCTTCCAGGCCCAGCCCAAGCTCTATCAGCTGTGGAGTCGGGATGTTGCACAAACTGCCCATGCAAACATAAACGACCGAGCCGGACTCTTGAGAGTCGAGCCACTTCGAACATTCCGATTCGCTGATCGCTAATCGAGGATTGCCCCTTTCCAACCGGTCCAACCGGTCTTTGTTGCACGACGAGGCAGGGCCCACAGACCAGGCCTTGCCACCCATTGCAGCCTTGTACCTCGTGAAGTATTCCTGCTCCAGCTCCTCGAACGAGTTGATGATCATCCCGTACGAGTAGCCTTCCGCTTCTATGACCTGCTCGCCGAGCAGATCCATCCGGTTGGCCATGGCCATGGGCAGCTGGTCCATCGTCACCTCGATCCGGTCGGGTAAACCGGGCACGACGAACCGGTCCGAGTCGGACCCCAAGCTCGCCAACACGCCCTTCTCGCTCTCCAGCATGTCGGCACCTTGGTGTATGTTGCGGAGGCAGAGCAGGGCGAAGGCCGAGAACCCATTGAAAGTAATCCTCGGCACGCCAAATTTTCTGGCCACGGTGCTGGTGAAGGGCAAGGAAATGTCGGAGATCACGCAGTTGGGCCTGGGCCTGAGCTGCTCGAAGAGCTTCTCCATGGGCTTCTCGAGGGCTCGGCCCATGTAGTAGAAAAGGTCGATCCCTTTGTCCAGAGAAGGGAGCTGGTCCAGCGTCTCGCAGTGCTTCGGCAGGCCCACTCCGTCGGATGGGAGCTCGAGCTCGAGCTCAGCGACGGTTATTCGGACGCCGGTGGACTCCACGGCACGGGAAACGGTGCCGCGGATTCGACCGGCGTTGACCGGGGTCGTGACGATGGTGACAACGACGCCGTGTTGGGCTAGGAGCTTGGCGATGTCCGTCATGGGGAGTAAGTGGCCTTGCGCCATGAAAGGGACTAGGACGAAGTGGAGCTCGGAAGCCATGGTGGAAGGAAGTTGGAGGAGATAGAGGGAGAGATGGGTGTTTTTTTTTATTTATGTTCATGGATTGTATATGCATTTGAAATTTATATTTCATGGAATTTTGGCTGTTATTATTTTATTTTATGTGGATGCAAATATGGGAATTTCATTGGAGGGGGGAAACAAATATATGTTATTGGTGTTGTGGCTACAAGGAAGAATTAGGCTTCCTTTGTGGCCATCAATAACAAGAAGAGATTGAGTGAACAAGATTGGATCGATAGTACGTTTTTATTCAAGTTGCATTCAGGTTTTAATGATCTTTTACAGCTAGAGAGAGCTTCTGATGTCGGCTTTGAATTAATTTTGAAAGTACGAAGTATAATTTTGAGATGACGTGTTATGAAAATATGACCTTCTAGGATGGACTGTAAAAGTCGGATATGACAAATGTTTAGACTCTTGTATTATACTCTGGTTCGGGTGTAATACGCGAGTCTCGATCATCGGAACAAAGTACATCCTAGAAACTTTCTTTTTTCCAATTTCTGAAAATTCATCAGTGTGAATCCTATATGCAACAATTAGCTGTGCATCGGCTAGTGAGTGAGGGACCAAACTGTGGTGTACAACGTTACAACACCAAGGAGCCAGCGTTGGATGGCGTAAGAGACTATGTCATTGTCTAATTTTTGCATGAAGGTCCAAACGAGGAGAAAAACGACGGGTCATTTTTTGGCTGGTTTAGACATACGTACTGAAATGTTCATCGAATCTTATATAATTACATTTGGCAAAGTACCAATACGCTCCAATCGGATGATTCCTTGTCGAATTAGAAGACGACGAGCATTGGCAAACTGAGACAAGGTGGCGCGTCCTCCTCATCATTGTGCTTTTCAAGTACAGTTGGATGATGTGAAACGCCGGTGGAAGATCCGGGGAGCTAGCCGGCGGTTCCGCCGATGGATTGCAAGGTTGTTTCATGTCTTAATCAAGGGCAATTAGTTGTTTAATCAAGACGAGAAATAAAATCCTTGTAAAACACGACGATCTGAGGTTGGAGTTGTCCGAACTCCATACCCCCCTAATCCACTCACTAAATGACACAGTTCCAATGGCAAAATTATTGTTAATCAACCCAATAATAATAATAATAATAATAATAATAATAATAATAATAATAATAATAATAATAATAATAATAACTCTGGCCACATCATTGTTGTTGTCGTCTTAGGTGAAGGAGCAAACTTCGCTTTTGCTTGTATCAGCCGACTTTCGCTTAAAGATAAAATCCGGCAATGAATTTCCAAAATTCACGGTATCTCACCATTTTTTATTATTATTATCCTTAACTGGTGTAACTGATAACCGTCTAACCGGTTAATGGTATACCGCGGTATCCCAAATGGTTACCTACAAATAGTTTCGAGTGATGACATGCGGTTAACATGCTTATTAGTTTATCGGTTCACATACAATTATCCGTTTTATCATTTGGGCAACGTTTAATAGTTCGAGTTATTTTAGGCTGCCAGATGCGGAGATCGTGAGTCACCCGAAGTTTGGTCGGTGTAGCCAACTTTAGGTAGGGTGGCTAAATGGGATGTCTTGTTCGTTGTCGTTTCGCATATGAGGGTGGTTTTCAATTACCCGGCTTACTGGCTAACCATCGGTTACTAACCGAGCAATATCTGGTATACCAAGTGCAGTTTTTTTACTACTAACACCGTCGGTTAACAATTTAACCAATACTCACTGATTGCTGGTTCGACAATCGGTTAAACCGTTAATTGACTAACCGATTGCGAGCACTATTTTTATCCCATGCCGTTTCAAATTACATGTCAATATATGTTCTCTAATCCTTTGAGCATGCCCAAAGCATTGAAGAATTCATCCAAACATTAGTATTTTACTATTGCATGAAATCTCACAATCCAACCTTTTAGGCACGACAACTTAAAATCAGGGGATGGGATACGGTCACTTCCCCTTAGGGGTTGTGAGATTCACAACCAAGAGTAATTTGGGTATAACAAAAAAATAAATTTATTAATTAATTTTTTGTATTAATTATATATTGAGAATTAAAAACCCATGTTAAATACATGTTTAAAAAAAAAACTCTACAATTAATTCACTTATATCTCTCTCTATCTCTCTCTACTTTTTCCAGCAGCCTCTTCGCTCCGACCGCCAAACTTACTCCGACCGGCAGACTTTTTCCGGTGAAAACCTTCAATCAGACTCACTCCGCCCACCTGCAAAAAAGTACAACTTCGTGAGTGCGCTAGTGGTAGTGATTTTCATCTAGTGTACTGGTATGATACCAGTAAGTAGTGGTAACGTACCAGTACCACTAAAGACTAACACAAAAAACCAGATATGAATTCTGAAAAATCATAGATCTGAAAAAAATTATTAGGAGATGAGGAAAGGGAAAGGCAGGGGAGAGGCGGTGACCTCGTGGCAGCGCCGTGAAGACGGGAGGTAGTGAGAGGCGGAGGAAGGGGGAGGCAGAGGTGGCGACAGTGGTTAAATACGGCGACAAGCGCGGCTGGGACGACGAGGACAGTGGGGACGGCGGGAACAACGTCGGCGTGAGGAGGAAGGCGGTCGCGACAACGATGATGGAGGTCTGCGTGGTGATTGAGGTCGACAATGATGGAGGTCGATGGTGGAGCTCTTGACGACTAGAGTTTTTTGTTAGAGATAGGTGAGAGGAGAAGAAGAGGGAGCAGGAAATTTGGGGGAGCGTCTGAAATTTTTTTGTTGTTGTTAATAAAGAGTATTTATATGGAAAATGGAAAGGATAGTAAACTAAAAAAATTGACCTAAACTTCAAACTTCGACTACAAAATCAATCAGAAAAAAACGTTAAACCCTCCTAACCCAGCTAACTACAACCCAATCAAGGACAAAACACGACCAAGTAATTATCACCGGTGGGACAAGTAAACGTGCTACTCCCATCATCATAAGCATAGCTATAAGCCTGAGGGCACTGCGCCTTAAACAGCTTCGAGTACCCCGTCGGCGGGCACTTCTCCGGCGTATTAAATTCCCCACTGCAGCAGTACTTTGGCTCCTTCAGCGCCAAGCACGCGCTCTTACAACCCACCACGCGCCCATCACCAGCCGTCACCGACAGCTCGGGGAGGCACACGCCGTTCACGTCCCCCGCGCAGCGCGTGGCGTTGCATCCGTGGTCCCCGCGCGGTTCGACCGAGACGGGCAGGTTGAACCCGTCGACCAGGCTGACGTCGTAGAAGTCGATTCCGTTGCCGTTGCCGTTGAGGGTGAGCTCGATGAGGGTTGCGGGTGGGATGCCGCCGGCGCCGTTGCATTCGATTTGGCCGGAGGCGCAGTCGCCGGTGAGGCAGGTGAATTTGCTGGTGGTGGAGTTGGTGGTGCAGCCGGTTCGGCCCCAGATTCGGCCGCTTGTCCAGTTGGGAGGGACCTGGAGGCTGGAGGTGTCGCCGGAAGGGAGCTCGAACCCGGTGGTGGAGAGCTGTTGGGAGCCGCCGCCGGTTAGGGTTGCTGGCCAGACCGTGTAGGGGCACTTGTTCGTGAGGAACACCGTCGTTGATTGAGCTCCTGCGCTTTCGGGGGGTCAAAAATATAATAAAATGTACATACTCCATAACATAAAAAATATAAATATATTATACCATCAAAGAATTTATACAGTTGAATTTGAACCATAAAAAAATAAAAATACAAATTCAATTTGTACGATATGAAAATTTTTACACATCTACATAGCTATAAATTGAATTTGTACGCATCATAACGTTGAAAGAATAAACTGAAATCGTATTATAACGTTAAAGATACAAATTCTGTTTGTACTATAAATAATATTTTTTTTTTCTTAAACGAAAAGATTGTGTATAAAGTATTGTCACGTTAAAATCCCAATTGGGAAAAACTTATAAGAAGGAAAATTTACAGCTCCGATAAGTAAAACTACAATGAAAGAAAGAACTGCCTGATGAATTATAGGGTAGCACTAAGGTTTACCGGCGATGAATAGTGCGGCGAGGAAGAGAACAAGGAATGTACGGTGGACCATGGTTGCGATGATTGTTAAGAACCAGTTGCTCCCAATAATTCGAGTTGTTGGGAGAGGTTCAATCGTGGATCATATACCACAACACTAATAACGATGAGATTGGTAGCTAGGTTAGTGGTGACAAGGGAACGACGATTTGTATGTTGTACTTATAGTTGTAGATATATGGACCAGAAAAGGAAGGCTGGGGGATCCTTCTGAAAATAAACCTTAATGTGAAGATTTCATTCCGAAACTAGAAATATCATGTTGTGTTAATTAATAATACAGTATAGTTTATGCTGAAATTTTTCCTATTCGGTCGGCTCTTTCTTATGATAATTAACAAATTAATTGAGGATCTTCAACTAAAAAAGTCCGTTAGTGGATGAACAAGTTGGGAAAACACATTAATGAACAGACATGGCTACTAGTCAAGGTTGTCAAACCGGTTTATACCGGTGTGCCGGTTTTGAAAGTGGAATGGTCCGACCGTGGTACAATCAGTATTCACGCCGGTTGTGTCGGTTTTAATAAAATATATGAGACAAATGAAAATCCTCAATTCCAAATAAATTAGTCATCATAAAGCAATTAGAAAAATTATTTCACACAAAATAATTTATAGCTAAGAATTGGTAACTAATACTAAACAATTAGATGCTTAAAAATAAAAGTATATAAAATGAATTTTATTAATGTTTATAATGATTTGTGTAAAATTAAGTATTGGATATATAATATATAAGGTTAATATGTACAACAAATTTGCTTATAGCCTACTGGTGTATAAGTGATACTAAAATAAACATGAGGTACTTGGTTCAAATCCTATCGAAGGTGTTTATTTTTGGATAAAATATGTGTACATTTGAATTCCGGTTTCTGGTCTAACCGGCCGGAATTTCCGGAATTGACCGAATTTGACCGGCATTGACCAGATCTGACCAAAGTTAAATACCGGCCTCTTTCCAGCCGGTTTGGTGACCGGTACCGATTGTACCCGGTTGAACCGGCCGGCACGAAACCGGTTTGACAACCATGCTACTAGTACAAGGAACTAGCCCCATAAATGGTAATGGATGGATTTTATTAGGTAATTTGATCATATTGTCATGATTTATAAAATTATTAGGTTTGACTGAGATGCACCGAATTAATGGCATTCTTATTAATTTTGGGTTGGATATGATTTAAATCAATTAATTTAGATCCGATTTAAATAGGTCTATTTGAGTACAAATGAAAAGCATCGAAACTTTAGTTTGATCTTCGGCATTTCTTTAAGTAATATGCATCATGTGTCTAATTTTGACCATAAATAACAATATTCAGACCCGATATATCCTATAACAATATTCATGAATTGTAAGATTTTTTTTTTGTGAAAAGGGAAATCCATCAAACACGGCAAACCTCGGCCCTATAAATACTCGACAAACCCATATAAACAAATTATAGTAGTCGGACACAAAACCATGCCAATGGCACCAAAGCAATTTCTTGGAGGATTTGGAAGAACTTATATAGTTGTAGGGGGCGATGCACGTTGCGCTTCTTCGGTTTAGCATCACCGCTCGATTAGGCGCCACCTCCCGGATAAGCGTCACTAATATATATAAAAAAACAACTATTAGCGTCACTACGTGCGCCAGCTTTCTCGATTTGGCGTTGCTAGTAACACCCCAACAATTACTATAATTTTCTTTGAAAAAAGAAGAAACTCGTTCACGGTGGGACTCGAACCCACAATCTCCCGCTCCGGAGGCGAGGGCCTTCTCCATTAGGCCACGCGAACTTATGTCCTCTACAAATTTTAGTAGCTATAATTCGAAAGCATTTTGGGTAATAATATCCATTATCCATTTATTAAATTGCCTCTTATTTTTTTTCTCTCTTTTTGGTAGAAATTGCCTCTTCTTTTGTTAGGGGCTACAACTCTTCATTATTTCTTAGTAAGTAGTTTATTAAATTCAAGTCACGGAAGTCAAATATCACGTCTCTTTTTTTTTTTTTTTTTTCCGTCGATATGAACAATTCGCTAATTAATAGAACCGATATCACTTGATGAAGTCGATTTAAGAAACGAAGAATGAATTTCGGCTTATATAATACTGATACATATATGCACCACGCAACTATAAGAAATGATAAAATCCATACAGGACCGTTTAATAATACACTCAAAATGATACACAAAATCCGCAGATAGTAAGTCCAAAAACTCGATAATTATTGTAAGAAAAATGGCACAAGGTCCAGCATGCAAATAATTAAACAGAAATCCTTTCTTCATAATCCTTCAAAAGCTAGCCTTCCTGAGAGAACCAGCCTCACAACCAGGCAAACGATGAAGCAACAAGCACTATGAAAAGCGTCACATGCAGCTCCATATTCCTCCCGACGGCAATACTGCCACCGGATGTCCCAATCGTCGTCGGGACCGTGTTATCAGAATTACCACCGTCGTCTGAAGGCGTGTTTGGGGTCGACCCGCCGGCGGGTGTCCCGGGGTTGCCGTTGGATGAATCTGACGGTGGACTCCCTCCTCCCGACGCAGGCGAACCCGACGGTGCATTTCCTCCTGAAAAAAAAAAAAAAAAATTTGCACATACTTCCGTTAACGTATAGTCTTCTTTTTGTATCGGCGGTAGAGGTGGCAAATATATAGATTGGTGGAACGATCCATGGATTGAATTAAATGGATAGGTGGATTATTAGTAGGAATGGTAATGGGCAGGTTCGGGGTGGGTATCCCCATACCTGCCCGTGGTAGGTCGGATCCGAGTCGGGTAATTTATTATGGGGCACGGATCGGGGCAGGTCGACCCATTGGGTATATAATTTATATGAAAAACATTAGAATTATTCATTATTTTAATTAAAAGACTAAGAAAGAAACAATAATTTGATAAAATGTAGCTAAATTATTGGAGAAATTGAATTTTTCACTTATTTACAACTTTATTATACCTAAAATATGATGTAATAAGAGGAAAATCTTAAGTAATTTGATTAAGATTACATGTAACTTAGGCCAGAACGGGTCGAGAATGGGGCGGGTCAGGGCAAGTCGGGTCGATGAGAGGTACCCATTTCCGCCCCGCCCCGCCTACGGGGCAGGTCAAACCCACCCCAAAACATGTTAAACAGGTCGGGTAAATCGGCTCAGGTCGAAATTATCCCTAATTATTAGGTCCATTTTAGATATTATAAGTCATAATAAAATATTTAGGTATTAAAACGTAACTTTTCAATCATATATATTTTTGCACTCACCATTGCAGCGGCTGACGGGCGGGGTCTGGACCCTACAAGCGGAGGGGAGGCCGAGAGCGCGGGTCTGGTTGATGGTGATGCCGAGCGACGAACCGCCGCCGTTGACCAGCTGGCACAGGCACTGCGGCTGCGACGACACGACGCTGCCGAGCTGCGAGCAGCAGGAGCCCGACGGTCTGGAGGTGTTCCCCGAGATGTAGTTCAGGCATGGAGACAGGCCGATCAAGGCGGTGGTGCAGCCCGACGATGACTGCGCTGTAGCAACGCCGGCGGTGTACGTCAGTGCCACGGCGACCATAACTAGGGCGAATCGGAGCCCGGTTGAAGCCATTTGTTGGACAGACTTCGTGGGGAAACGATGAGCTTTGACGTTGGCTGATGTTGGTATGTGAGATTTTGTTGGTGTTTGAAGGTGGGAGGATTTCGGTTTTCTGTTGGGTGTTTTGGAGGGTGGAGGAGGGGATGTTTATATATATATATATATATATTTGGGTGTTTTGGGGGGGACGACGACTAAGAGGAGAGTCAATGGGTTGGTAATTTGATGGCCAGCTTTTGGGCTTAGAAGTTTGTTAGTGGGAGTTCAACTACTTGGTTCGTGGAATTTGTGTGCTATAATTTCTCGAGGAGATTACAAATATTAGTTAGGTGAGGCTATCTATTATTGTTTCAAATTATTGAGAAAAGTCCAAATTTGTTGAGGATACGAAGTTTTAGACGGTAGAATTTGTACGAAAAGATATATTTACAAATTGAATTTAAATTATATATAATGTTAAGTTACAAAGTTCAGTTTGTATAATAAAAAAATTTGTACAAAGAATGTATAGGTACAAACCGAATTATATCATAATAGTAAAGGTACAATTTTAGTTCTATAAAATATTAGTGTTTTTCATTTACCTATGCTATAAGACTATAAAATTCCTCTAATTACGTGATAACAGTCTGTCAATGTTGACTGCATATAATAAATATGGGTTGTCCTTGTTTTGCAGGATTCATAAGAAGTGTATGGCCATTGTTGGGTGACCTACTCTTTTTTTTCCCTGTAAGTCGGTGACTTAGCTTACTTGTTTTATCCACAATGAGTGGACAAGTGTCGATTGAGTGGAAATTTAACCGTTGGTAGCATATCAAGAGAGGGAAGAGAAACATTGTGACATCTTAAATTTTAAGGCACGGTATAGTTAATTTAGCTTTGATGTCTGTCAAACGTCAACAATAAGTTCAAGAGGCTTTATTCGACGCTTATATAATCAGGATCAGACATTTTTCTTCTACTTAAGACAAACTTAAGCGAGTACCTAAACATGCCCTTTTAGGACCATGATAGATACTTAGTGGAGAAATGGACAAAAACTATCATCAACTTTGGGGAGACTCTTCTCTTCCTGTCTCTTCTTTCACATAATCCACATTTGTACTCAGCGATGAACTGGAACCCTAGATTCATCCATTTCCTTTCTACCCTAAAAACAAAGAACAAAACCCAGAATTCATTGCTGTACAATACAATAGCATATATTTACATGTACATAAATTAATCAATATCCATCCCCTAGTCAAGAAATGGAATTACACATGGAAAACAACCACTACTCGTTGATTAGAATCAGCTTTAAGCCTATTATTATTATATAAAGAAGGGAGAGTTTTCCCAACCAGAAATAATAACCAAAGCTAAATTAAACTACTGTCACGATGATATTAGCGACGACCATCACCGCGTCGCTATTGCTCCTGTTCTCGTCGCTAATACTGCGTTCCCATTGGTCCAGCGCGGAACTCGACAGCGACGGTGGTTCATCCGGCCACGCGCTCGGGCGGTATTACTACCAGACGATGAGACATCACGGGCGAGGTGGGAGGCACCGGCCGGCGTTCCGGGCCGGCCCATGGAAGAAAGCCCACGCCACTTTCTACGAGGGCAACACCCGAACCTACGGCGGCGCGTGCGATTACACGGACGTGGTGGGGGAAGGATACGGCATGAACACGGCGGCGCTCAGCAACGCCCTTTTTAAGGACGGCAGGGTCTGCGGCGCGTGCTTCCAGATCGAGTGCGTCGACGACCCGCAGTGGTGCAAACCGGGCCAGCCGCCTTTGTTGGTCACGGCCACGGATCTCTGCCCGCCCAACCCGTTCCAGCCCAGCGACAACGGCGGGTGGTGCAACCCGCCCCGGGAGCATTTCGACATCGCCATGCCCGTCTTTGACCGCCTCGCCGAGTTCAAGGCCGGAATCATCCCCGTCCAATATCGCCGGTAACTTTTTTGTTATTAGGCAGCTGATAATGATTTTGTAGGGCTGACTCACACTAATCCTCTCTTTTTACCCGTTTTTTTTTTTTTTCATGAAACTATCTCTAACATCCCGAACATTTTCCGAACGAAAATATTGTACGCTTTAAATCTCGACCCTCACGTTTGTTATACAATCGGTCCACGTCTATATTTTCTTTTTGACTCTATCTGATCATTTAGGTCCGAATCGGATCGAGCAGAGTCCGTAGTTCTATTCAAATCAATCCGCACATTGATTTTTTTGACAATTCTAATTTGATACTCAAATTAGTGGAATTTTACTCTAGTTGTTGCTTACGGATTATAGGGCCAAATGTGTCCTGACTCTAAATTGATCCGATCATATTTCTACCTAACAATTTCAAGATAAAAAACAGATTTAACTCTAAACTTGATCCTGTAGACAAACTCATCCAACCTGTCTCTGAAGATCTGATCGAGCCGGTTCGGTGGATATCAAGTGCTAAGCTGACAGCCCTATTAATGGACTTTACTAGAGAGAAAAAAACGTCATTTATGGGCCATGATTTTTATGTTTGTTGGGCTTTATGTTGGTGTGATTTGGGCCGGCCTGTCTGTCTGCAGGGTGCCATGCAGGAAGCGAGGTGGGATCCGGTTCACGATGAACGGCAACCAGTGGTTCTACGAGATCATAGTGTCCAACGTGGGAGGAGCCGGCGACATCGTCGGCGTTCAAGTGAAGGTCGACAAGAGCAGGCTCCGGTGGACTTCCTTGGACCACGACTGGGGCGCCACGTGGAAGACCGGCTTCCCTCTGCAAGGGAAGACGCTGAGCTTCCGGGTGAAATCGAGCGACGGAAGGTACATGACTTCCATGCACGTCGTCCCTAGCAACTGGCAGTTCGGCCAGACTTTCGAGGGCCGGAACTTCAAGTCCGGTGGAAGAAGAAGAAGGAACTTCAAGTCCGGAGGAAGGAGAAGGAAGGGTATTGGCCAGCTTTAGGTTTCTCATGAGTCATGAACAACAACATTGAAGGATGGTGAGATTGGCAAAAGGATTACTAAGAATTTGGTGAGTTAGTCGGATCAAATCGAATCGTAGATCGGCAAAATTTTCAGCTTGTTACTAGCTGTTGTACATGTATTGTTACATTCGTGATTGGCCAAGTAATTACAAGCAAGCGATAAAAGGAACAAAAGAAGTATCTGGGTTTACGTTAAGCTCACACAACAACGTTGAAAATTCCTCCCCTGCATTTGCAACTTGCAGACCCGGTACCAGAGAGTCGATTGAGTTGCGCTGTTCATGCACGTGTTTCTGTCAAGTCGAACATCAATCGATCGAGCTGTTTATGAAGGGTAACTTGGTTTGTTAGCAGCTGCAGGTGAAACCCTTGACTAGGAAGGTATAGCGATACCACGGTTTTGGAACTTGGGAGACTTACTGTCTATTTCTTCTGTTTCTTCTTTTTTCGTTTCTCTTCTTTCGTATCTGCTCTGGCTTCCAAACGTTTTGATTGCTGTGAACGGATTTCCTGAAGCTTTGCCTTAGCATCTTGGAAGAGTGCATCTGATCTTGAGGCCATTAATTGCTGGTGAAATATCAGCGAGAGACAACATTGTTAGGGAACCAAGCATTGAGAGGAGAGAATATGGTTTGGTTTATTAAATGAGACAGTGAAGTGGGAAGATCCCGCAGCATTCCTCACCTTCAGATGGTCCATTGCTGCCAGATTGAAACCGAGAGTATCCTTGCATTCCTGGTGAAGATCAATTGTCATCAGGGTAATGTAGACACGGGAATATGTGACACAGAGCGAGAGATCGGTACTAAAAAGTAAAATGTGAAGGAGGTGAAGATCATAGATCAACGTCTAAACCATATGGGTTACCTTGACTCTTGAATGGAGTTCATCCTTGAGAGCAGTCAAAACCGGCCTGGAAGCAGGAGTGCTGACTAACTGGTGATAGTTAATCTGCAACAGCACTGTAGCAACTCTACAGACAAGCTCAACCTGATATATCAAGGCAAAGGTACCCAATCATTATCGGAACGTTTCATTTTACATAAAATGAGAAGAATTCAATATTATAGCGGCAACCGGTGATCTTTGCCTACCAACCTTGTCAGGGATCGATGCCCAGTCCTTCAGATAGGACAAGAGCTTCAAAACATCTGAGAAGGGTAAAGCCTGTAAGAAAAAACAGAATAATCAACTCAGGAAGTTGAAAGACCTCAATCAATGAATCCAGGAGGTCAAAAAAGGGGGAAAAGCCTGAATTTGATACCAGGAGTGTCTGCTCCAAATCATTTGCCTGAACTTTTGAGAGTGCATCAAGAACATAATCAGAAGGCGGCAGCCCGTTCATAGTAGGGTTTGGCTGGAAGCGAGTTACTTGTCCCCTGCTCCTCTCCTCCTGGAAATCCACAAATGCATATACCAATCTTTAAGTCTTCCTAGTTGTATGATCACAATCTGAAGGACCATTTGACTTGCTAATAACCAATGATCACTTAAATTCAAAAGGAAAGTCAATAAAAATAACACATACTTCATGTTCAGTGATTCGCTTCAACTCCATATCCGCTACATCTAGGGCATCAACAATCAAGTCGGTGGCTGTAAGAGTTTCTTGAGTTTTCTTCCCTGCCAACGCAACAGCTCCCTCTTCTGGGATCTCTTCTTTCGGTGCAAATCTGTTTTCAAATGGATTCTCCAGATCAGCTTCAAACATGTCTTCCAATCTCTTCTCCTTTTCTTCCTGCAATATACAAGAACAGTGAACAGGACTACCTAAAAAGTCTAGAAATAGACCATCTGCCAAAACAAGAAAGGAAATGATTACCTCAATGAAGAATGGCTCCTCAGTGCGATCCCACCTACGTATAGATCGGTCATGAGACCCCGTGACAACAAAGTCACCACGGCTACCAATTGCAAGGCACCAAATATCAGCATGATGGCCCTCCAGAGTTAAGAGCAGCTCAAACTTGTCCGCATCCCAGTACTTTACAAGTCGATCTTTTCCAGCACTGAACATATAGTGGGTATTTCGTACGAATTGCACTGCCATAACACTAACCAACAAATAGTTTCATTAGAACACTGCCAGCTCACAAGAGAATACCATTAAATGTATCTTTTAGATTGTAAAGAGAAGACCACCTATCAGCATGAGCAAAGAGAGATTTGTGACAGTCGCCAAAGTCCAAACCCCAAATCTTCAAGTTCTTGTCAGCTGAGCCAGTGACAATTAAGTCTCCATCTGATGAGATATCCATGCACATTACGGGCAGCTTGTGACCATATAGTGTGAGAAAAAGTTTAAGTGAATCCATGAAGAAAACCTGAAAAGTGGGAAGAAACAACTCGGCCGGTTCAGAAAAACTAATTGCTGGCAGTAGAGACCACTTAAGAGGATCTTAAATGAACAATGGGACAACAAGCCGATGAAAGCAACAGTATAATAAATTAAATTCTAACTGTACACGAATTAGACCAACCTTCACTGTGCAATCCAACAGAGCAACTGCAATGTATTTAGCATCAGGGCTAATTGCAACCACTAGAACATCATCGTTCATCTTCAAAGACCTTACATTTGATACTGTGAGCTGCTTAGAATCCTGTAGCCCAAAAAAAAAAATATTCAGCTCCAGCAAACATCAGTCCCCCAGGAATCTTACTTTGAAATACACATTAGACAGAGTATATTGGAAAAGTAGGGAGGAAGGTATCATCCTCCCAAATGAACATTGGTTCTACAGAAAGTGCATAGTCACCCATCGATAGCACATTATATGTCAAACACAAGATAGTAAGGAACACAATCTGTACGATGACGCAAATATTAATAGAAGATATGGGAGACCACACCTGACCAGGTTTCTGTTTGATTTGATACTCCCAGAACTTAACATCATGATCTGCACTGCCTGTGACAAACCCATTTTCATCCGGAATCGCAGTAATGGACCGAATGGCACCACCGTGAGCTTCCACTTCCTCAATTCTAGTGGCACTTCCGATATCAATGATTTCAACAGTTCCACCTTTCGTCCCGACAAGTGCATACCTATTATGTGGAACAAATAATCCACAAAGTCCATATCCAGAGTCAATAGTTCGAAGACAAGAACCAGTGCTTGGATTCCAAATCTTCACTGCATTGTGACTAGTGGACAGCAAAAGACTGTTGTCTGAACTGAGTGTAAGACTCCTGACATCAGACCGATGCCCATGGAGTTCAATAGCTAGATTCTTTTTGTTTGCATCATTTTCAATGGAATAAAACTCCAATAAGTTATTATTCAATGACAATGCCAATGTAGCCAATGAGTTCTTAGGTGTAACTGGGCTGAATGAAATGGAGCACACTTTTTTGCCAGCTCGAATGGTTTGTAGAAGCTTAAAGATATCAGTTACAATAATCAGACTACCACTCCCATCTTCTTCTGTAGCAGGCTCTTTAGCATTTTCAGTAACCTCAACTGCTCCTTTCGAAGACTTCTTCTCCTTCTTCCTATGAAGCCGGCGTTTAGCCTTGCGCTTTGCTTCAACCTCATCAAGAACATTGAATATCTCCACTATCTTCCCAGCTGACTGGCAAGCAAGCAAATTACCCGACACATTGAACCTCACAGTTCCTACCCTATCTTTTGTTTGCCTCTGGATCTCACCAAGAAATTTCACAACTTCCCATTTGTTGACATCCCCATTTTCATTGCCCACATCCTTTTTCCCTTCTGTATCGTCCTTAATTGTGTAAAACCGAAGTTCAGGGTCTGCAGAACCACTAACCAAGTATCTTTCTTCGGGATCGACATCAATCGACCAAACCTCACTGTGATGCCCACTGATAATTTGCACGCAATGCTGTGTTTCCAGATCCCACACTCTCAAAAACTTGTCCTTGGATGAAGTCACAAGTTTCTTCCCAGACTCCAAAAACACAAGGTCAGTAACCTGCAATGCAGAAAAACAAACAGAAATTGGTGTTACAATCCAGAAACACAATGAACAGAACCCAAGCACGATCTGATCCTCATAAGCTTATTCAACCTGGTCACGATGTCCTCGAAGGCGAAAGAGGCCAGTCTCCCCAACCACATCCCACAATATAACATCATTATCTTTACTTCCAGATGCAAGCTGAGCACCAGTTTTGTTGAACCGTAGAGCAGTAACCGCACCTTTGTGGCCATTCAATGTAGTCTCGCAGGTTCCCTTGTCACTGTCCCAAATCCTAATACTACCGTCGGCATAACCACTTGCTACCTGCACTTGGAAAAATCAGAAATTAGTTCTTCTCTTCAGCTTTACCTCCTCATTTTCTAATCTAAACCCTCAAATAAAGCACCACTAGAAGTTCTGAAAACTATAAACCATCCTAATTCATTCAGCTAACCAACCCTTACTGAACACAAAAATGAAGAAGACTTCCAGTAATTCCATTAATTACCAGAGGCGAAGACAAGGAAGAGGCTATGGAAGTGACGGCGAGAGAAGGCCCGCTATGAGAAGCCGTCGAAGGCTCTAGCGTCCTAGTGCAGATGCCTTGCCGGACATGCCAAACTCCGACCTTCTCGAGCGCCGGAGCTAGCAGGTGCTTTCCGGAGCTGTCGAAGGCTATGTTCGATTCGACTGAAGCTATCACACCGAATGAAGCCCGAGGCTCGTACCTCAGGTACGATTTCACCATGTCCAACGCCGCTTAGTTTTTGCTTCCTGCTTCTCTGCTCTGGTCGAGGCAGCTATGGCGGCTGAGGTTTTCTAAAGGGTTTAACAAAGGCGCCTTTCTCTCCTCCGTCGTCCTCCTGCGCGGTGCTTCGGTTTTATTTTCCTTTTTTTATCTGCTATCGAAATTTTGTGTGTTTTGTAAAATTCCTCAGCGTTTTGGGCCGAGGCCCAAGAGTAGCAGTAAATCAATTCCTCTATATCGGGTTAGTTCCTCTGTCGGCCTGTGAATGGTTTGGTTTCTGATAGCGTACATGGTCACAAGGCTGTGCTTGGGTCGGCACGGGCATGCTACGAGTTCGTTTATTTCTTGCTGCGCTTGGCACGGCCTGTCAGTTTTCATGTCGTGCCGTGTCAGTCCATTTGTGAATTTTGCTGGGCCCAGCCCAGTCGGGGACAGTTTGAATCGTGTCGTGCTTATTCTTATTCGCGTCGTGCTTATATTCGTGTTTAAAAGAAAGGAAGAAAATAAAAGAGGGAATGAACAAGAAGGAACAAATTGGACGGAGAATGAATGTATTAACCGAGAACGTTTAAGAAATGTAATAAATAAGGGTGGAAAGAAAATTGGAAGTATAGTGGGTGTGATTTGACTTTATTTAATACTTCGTCTATTTGTACTTATGGTAGTAATTACATATGTATATTTCTGATCACTACTAACAACAGTAAATAATTTTTATTGTACTTGTATTTTTTAAGATGTGGACCTATAATCATTTTTATATCTATTTTCAATCAAATAAATATTCTTTTCATGTCATGGTCTTGAAAATATTAGACCCAATACGCCCCATTTACATACCGTGTCGTACCCGTACTTGTGTCCGTGCCCATAAAATTTAGATCTAACATTCAGTAAACAGGCCATGATCATAGTACTATTACTAAATGTTCTGGTGCAATAATGTAGTTGGAAGCTTTAACTATTATTGCTACAGTGTTTTGTACAAGTCGTGCCATACATTGAATTCTACAAGTCGTGCCATACATTGGATTCTACAAATACATGTCCATTTATCACTTCTGCTACGTACATATCAAAATCAAAGTGTGTTTGACCAGATACACTTGCCGACTTGCCGTTTGGAGGGTACGTACGTGTTTGATGCTGTATTTTGTGTGTATTAGGTCTAAGTTCAGGCTATAATATTGTTCTAATTAGAGAGTCGTTATCTTCAATTATGTTAGTAAATTTTTTTCTCTCGAAGATATCTGCCAAGATTCCAAGAAGACAACTGATAAATACGAATGAAAACCCTTTTATAAGACCGTTATTGAAATTGAGAGATAGAAAATTCTAAACTTGACAATATTAAAAGGCTTTTACGAGTTACTCAATGTGCAACCTTAAAAGATGATTAATCTCAATGTGCAACCTTAAAAATTGAACCGGTGTTTTGAGATGTGATTCATAATCATACGACACACGCCTCCTCAAACTAAAGCCGCTCATATAGGTTTGAAATTTGCACGGGGTTTTGGAATACCACGTGGTTAACAAATGAGGTCAGCATGATTTGAACAAAAGTCATTTTGGTCACGGAAGACTCTGATACCATGTCATGAATTAGTTGGCACCAATAACTCCAGTTGTTGGGAGATCAGGTTCAATAACGAATCTTATACAACATACTAACACGTCCCTCCTCGAGCGAAAACCACTCTTATGGGCTTGACGTTTACACAAGTCCGGAACATCATGTGATGTACAAATTGAGGGCACCAGAATTTGAATTGAAGACCTCTCGATCAAAGACTGATCTGAAACCATCTCAAGAGACCCATACTGAAGAATGGAGCCGTTACGTTTGAACAGTTCCGGGAGCTTTCCTAACTCCTTGTCAGGCTCAGCGAGGCCCAAGACAAGACACCACATAATACACAAATTCGATCACTGCAGCACGGCATGTGACGATGATGATACATATGTAGTAAGCGCTTGGCCATACTGATGAGAAACATGGTGGGTCGACTGTCGATCGCCATTAATTTTTTGCGATATTATTTTGATCATCATCTCTAGGCTTCATCTAGTAATTCAGAGCCACAGCTTTATCCTCAACGCACAAAAAAAGGTACTTCGAATGATGGAAAATGGTGGTTGAAAACCATAGAAACGTGTGTGTTTGAGTGTGTGTGTCGGCCATCTTTCGGCAGATTATATATAATGCCGTTTTCATGCGGTGGAGAGTACTGTTTGCCGACTCCATTTCAAGAAATTGGCCAAAGGGTTTTGTTGATGTGACTTGAATCGGACTATCAGCCGCTACGACTGGTAGTCGGGGGGTCTCGCTGCTCGGTCAGTGAGTGGGGTCCAGGGGCAATGCCCCGGTGGGGTGCGGGGGCAACGCTCCCGGCCCACGGTGTATGGGCTCAATGTTATTTGGGTTCGGGTTTTGGGCCTGGTCTGTAACCGTTTCCTTTGCCATATTGGATTAGGTTTAGACCCACATGGAGAAGTACTATAAATACTTCTCATACTCCTCTGTAATCTGTAATCCCCTCGATATAGTGAAACTGGCTCTCTCTCGCCCGTGGACGTAGCTAACACACATCGTGTTAGTGATCCACGTAAATCGTGTGTCTGTGTTTTTCGATTCTCGCTTTCGTATTCTTGCTTTATCGATTCCGGCGATTTCCCGATCCGCAGCAGCGCGTTTATAACAGATTTTGACTTGTTGATGGTGCGACCAAGGAGCATTCTCATTTCTGATTCATTGCATGGTTTGGCTCTTACATTACAGCAGTAAAATATACAAAGTTCTCGTACAATCATTTTTTGTTTCTTTTTTTCGTTAGAAGGAAATCCTTCGAAGCGAAATGTGCCTAAGATGATACATTATCGAAAGAGATCTAAGGTGTTACATTGTAAATATAAAAAAAAAAAAATTCTTATAGCTAGAGCCATCTTACAATATTCTTCCTTTATGATGCCATACATATTCTAGATTGTTAATTTCTTCACTTTCCAAGAGGAAATTAGTGACAGACTGACAGCCACACATGAAATATAATCCATTATAGGAACTTGTCCTGTTTCTCCATACGAATCATATATCATAGCAGTCTGGTATAATAACTTCAGAACGGTTTGGTTTCACCTCAAAGCAGCCAACCGACGAAAGTACACAGCGCATTGACAAACCTGTAAAATGATATGATATCAATACAAAATCGATTAAAAATGGGCATGTGTGCATATTATATTGCTGGTTCTTCGACAAGTTGGGAATTATTTAATATATTTTTGGCCAGCAGAAAAAAATGAATATGCATGCATCTACAACTTACATGAGACAAAATCGGAAAATCGAAAAATGTAAATAGTAAAGATTCGAAAGATTTACGTGACAATTGCTAATACGATGTGTATTAGTTAATTTATGGATAGGAGAAACCATTGTCAATAAAACGATGGCGGATACTCTAACTTCAAGTGGTAGCAACAGAAACCCTAGCTAACCTTCGATGAAAGTTTAAAGTCCTTTATGTCCAACGAATAATAATTTCATTATAAAGGTGTGAGAGTTTATTGACAAAAATATTAATTCTCCTTACTTATGTGTTCGATTGATGGCATTTGTTGGGGGTAGGAGTAAGACATTGATGATTGTTGTCAGGCGTTGAATTCACGAAACCCATACGAGAAAATAGGGATCGATCAGGCCTATCTTATACTCTTGGATATTTGCATCAAGTCATGGGTGTGGAATGCATAGGTGATTTTCAATTTCTTTCATTCACTAAAGGTGGGTATTTTCGTATTGGTCGACCCTCTCCAGAACTTAAATGTGTGTGTGCATGAGAGAGTTTGAGGAAAATGAGCTTGTCATAGAGCAACGATCAAGTTCTATTTATAGAGTTTGTTATAACAAGGGAGTGTTCTTTGTTGCTAAGCTTGCCAGCAAACTTTATGTTGCATGTATCGATCTACATCTTTTATAGTCTCCGTTATCGGCCTTTTATGGTACTACCTTTAGGTTTTCTCTCCATCGGACCTATACATATTCATTCCAAACAAGATAATTTCGGGTAGTTTCAATTGACATTGAAACGAGTAACGAATTCGATTCGAACTAAGCATAAGTGAAACCGGGATTGGACAAGTCAACTAATCCACTCCTTGTCGACCCCAATCAGTTTGATGAACAATGAATGTAGTTAAAACCCTTCTTCGAATGTCGGTCTCCAATTTGGCAGCTGCCTCTGTCTGGCCTGATGGAGAGATAGCAAAATCTAGCTAGTCCACAGGAACAATTAATATGGCGGGTCCGGCCGTCACGAAGTGGTGGACGATATTTGTGCACGGCGTGAGCTCATTTAGATATAGTATAGACGCCATAATAATTATTTTTTTTTGTCATTTTTTGCATTGATATGGACGCCGTTAATAATTAACCATATGATAATGGATCGATAATTAACCTTAATTACTAAAAACTTAAACAAACCAAAACCGGCGGTGGCCGAATGGTCGGTCGGCGTCACCAGAAAGTGATCGGGGAGTCACTTGTTTAGTAGTTTTGGAAACATTGGGAGGGAGCATATTGAAGAGGACAGACCGACCACGCCATTATCTTATTCCGTTTATGGAAATTCTGGCAATATAATGCAGTAGTGTTTTTTTTTATTATTATATATGATTCAGTAGTTTTGTTTGGTTATATTTAAGGCCCATTATTTTTTAAAAAATAATTGTTAATCACTAGTTGATCCCAGTAATTCAAGTTATTGGAAGAGATTCAATCGTGGATAATATACCGTTTACTAACAATAATGACTTAGTTAAAGAGCTCCGTTACTATATTTATACTCATAAGCATCGGTGAATTCGTTTAAAAACAATTATGGTACAAACTGGATTTGTGCATTAACATTGTGGTGCAAATTCAATCTATACCTATACCCTTTTCGAACCAATTTCTTTGCGGGACAAACTGAATTTGTACCCTTAACGTTGTGATCCAAATTAAGTTTGTACCTATCATCTTCGTACAAATTTCTTTATGGTACAAACTAAACTTGCATCTTCAACGTTATAGTGTAAATTCAAGTTGTACTTTCAACGTTATGGTACAAATTAAACATGTACCTTGAACCACACCGAGCTAATGAGCATTGTAAAATTCCTATTAGTTCAATAGCCAAAAACTCTTGTTGTTTTCTATCAATTAATGGAACCTTGACTTATAATGAGCTGTTGCGCTCTTTCACTTTCTAGCCAGACCTAACTAATTAGTAATTAGTAACTCATTATACATACGATTTACCGTAAAAGGGAACTTATACTTGAGCTAATTAAATACGCCACGGTTTTCTCCAATATTCATTCCACGTCAAAGCCGGCCAAAGGCATCTATACCTAATCGAGTGTGAAGTTTAAAAAGTTTAAGACATGACATATAGCAATAGAGGTTGGTGATCAGTCGGTCATCAACTCCCAATAAATCGAGGTTATAAAGCAATTTTTTTTAGGAAACGTACGATTTTGATAAAAATATATTAGTGACCATTATGGTGCTTTTAGTGTCCAGTGCCTCGGTTACAATAGGCGAACTTTTCTCTTCACCAAAAACAACAGAAAAGTGAACTTTTTCCTAGTACATAAAGTAGCATTTCAAGTTTTCAACCACGTACATGTATTTCTTTTTCTCGGCAATTTAAGATGGTCTACAAGATTTTTTTTTTAATATCGTACCAACGATTTTTTGAACGTATAAGCTCGTCAGATTTACTGGATCAGAAATCATTCAAACAGTGACAGAGTAATCTAGGATAGGCTGTAGTACGCTCTCAACATTTTATTCTTGTTTATAGATGTTGAGAAAATATAGTAACATACGCGTAAAATAAAAACAACAATATGTTGGATCCATACACTCTAAATTTTGATTTCGTCATCACATTACTAACACATATTATTCATTAAAAAAAAATACTCAATATTTTTCTAACGTGTGAACCTAAACTCACGCATGAACACACATATATATATATATATATATCACCAATATACTTCCACTAATGGGCCCTTATACATATATACTAATCCCCCCTTTCTTTCTTGGTTAGATCGATAAGTAGTTCTATCATTATCTTCATTAATTAGGTCTCTTAACTTAATGATGAATCATTATGAGCCACGATAGATATGATGGAATAGGCCTTGGAACTATTAGTGGGTGAGGATTTTGATTGATAAGTTACTTTCACCCCCCTTATCTTATAAACCCACCACCTTAACTGTATAAATTTTGTTGGCTTCGAAAGATAGTGCCATAGTGGAGACATATAACCCGTAACCATTTCTTCTTTCTGCTGTCACAGTCGAGATCTAACCGGCCATGTTTCTTTTGAGTTTCATGTGTTGTTCCCTTTTGGAAGCGAAAAGGATGTTAGCTTTCTATATTTTCGAGAGAGGGTGAAAAAGAGAAATCGTGATGGAGTTGGAAGAATGAATTGGATTTTGGAGTGTATTATGTATACACCTTATATTATGCTATCCTGAAAAAGGGAAAGAGGCGGGTTTATATTCGAGAGGCGTTTGGGTTCAAATTTTGGTAATGGTTATTTCTGTTCGATCATGTTGTGGCAATCGACAAGATTGTGTATCCGATTGAATTGATCCTATACGGAGTTATCGGGTACTGATAGGGTTTGAGATTTTAGTAATGCGGGAGGGGATGAGATTACATTCACGATGTTAGGTGGCAAGAGTATACATATATAGATCATGCTCGCATGCACTACTAGATTATAATAAGAAGTTAGATTAGGGATTAATTGTTATTAATTATTCGGTAATGCATGATTAGTGGACAAACCCCATGTCTCATTTCTACTTGCCACCAAGCTTTGCTGGATGTAATTTGAGATGAGAAAGAATATATTAGACATTTGAATCAAGCTCTACGTGGCACATTATGCCATTAGCAACTGAATTTGTTTACTCATGTTTATGTTTAATGGGTGTTTACAGTTTACATCAAAATATTGCAAATTGGATTGTTCTTCACCATATATATGATAATTAGGATATAGGATAGACAATATTTTCAATCTAGTAAAATTCATAACCGAGTTGATCGTACTAGATTGAAATAAGAAGAAAGGTAGCATAAAATTTCAGAGAAAACCCTCTTTCACAACTATATGTTAGGTAATGTGTTTCGTGAAGTGTACTCTATAGCAGCAAAAAACGACCAACCTAAATGAGATTGAGATGCATCGTTACAAACAATGATTGAACAAGAAAAACACATCACTAACATTAAAATCTGGTTGTTTAGTATGCTAATTTCTTGGCTTGGACACTTCTATTCCTTTATCGTTACTTTTGTTTCATTCCATAGAACTTTATGCTACCCTAAAGCCACAAATTTGCATAGTACATAGTACCCTATAAATATAATGAGTTCTTCCTTGCTTTTAATTTCTTTTACATAATATTGTACACTCGAATGGAAGGGCAAGTGGATATTATCTACAGTGAACTTCTAGATTCTTTTTGTTTGCTTGTTGACCTTATAAAGCAAAAAGCCTAGCTAGATTTTTCGAAGTTGTTTATTTATTTGGTCGTAATAGGTGGGGTAATGGGTACCACTTTATTTATTATACGAGGGGTAACAGATTAATTATATATTAATATTGTGTGTTAGTGTTATATACATAGTTTAATTGGGTGCTTATCCATATTGGGTTCATGAAGGAACAAAAATCAAATTGAATAAACCAAATGACAAAGGTTCAAAGGACACCCTAATGCCTCTTGTTAATTTTTTGAGCCGGGCTACTGAAAAAAGTACATTTCTAATTTATTATTTCCACAAAAAAAAACATGCATTAATTTTTAAGATAGTTATTGTGAAAGTGAAATAGATGATAATTTCTATTTTTGATTATGTAATTTAATTTCGTTAGTAAGAAAGACTTATTATTTCTATCAAGTACAAATTCTTGCTACAAAGATCTTTTATAGATCGTAAATTCAGAATTTACGAGTTTGAATATTAAGACAAACGATGAAATTTCTATAAAGTTTTGATTGGAAATAAGGCAACCCTTCAAACCAAAACAAATCATAAATGTATACGTAAAATGGCCTCTCCACTTTTATTGGCTTACTTAATCATGTAATATATGATTTTATGCTTGTGTAAGGGGGAAGAAAAAAGTTGTAAACAAGTGAAGCATAAACAAAAGCAAAACGTACAAATCAATGGCTAATCATGCCCACCCCTAGTCTTAGTCCACATGTATAATTATCAATACTAGTCATGTCAACAAACCACTCTACATTAACAACTCTAGTTTAACCCATCTTCCCTCCTTATTCTTCTTTTTTAACTACCATAAATATTATTTAATCACATCGCCAAACCACTAACCTTGTGTCACTACTCTCCTCGTAGTTATTTGTCATTTTCCCCTTATTTCGCTTTCCAACTCCTTATAAAATGATTAACAATTTCTGGTATTTTCCTCAACTTATTTCTTCAAAATAGACTAAGTATCTAGTATAGTTCGAGGAGAACGAGATCAGGGAGAGACTAAGTCGGCTCCATCGGTTAAGACGAGTTGTACAACAACATTTCTCTCCAACTTTCGAGGCACTAGCATTAATTTGGAAAGTCTCTGGCGAACATGTCTAGCGAATGAACCCATGGAGAGGAGGAAGAGATCAACACTTGATGGTGTATTTGACCATGTGCTATTTGACCTTTAAATTGTGTGGAGAATGAGTTGATCATAATGTTTGGAGGAAATGAGCATCTATATAATCGTGAGGTTGACATAACATAATCGAGTTAAGAAGGAGATCGATAATGGTTTGTGCTCAAGTTTTGAAATGGATTTTAAAGCTTTCATAATTGATTCGACGATAAAATATGTGATAAACATTTATAAAGATCAAACTAGATAGCATCCCAACATAAATTCGTAAATTTTTTCTTGACAAACTTATTTTGTAGCCATTTCGGTTCTCATCGAATTGTTCAAATATTTGAATCCATGAAAAATTTGTCAAGTTTTGCAATGCGTCACATAAAATTAAAGTAATGGTGTAATACTTTTTCCTTTGTCAATAGTAATGGTGTAATACTAGTACTAGATTGTGAAATGTTTAATACAATAAGGTAGGGGTGGCTATACGGTCCGGTTAAATTTGACCAAATTGATCCGGTCCCAGTCCGGTCTTTTCGGGAATATAAGGACCAAAGATTGGATTGGATACAGTCCGGTCTTGATCCGGTCTGGTCTTGACCCGGTCCGGTCCCAATTTTATCTTGATTTTAGGTGTTGGGAGTCTCTTATCCGGTCTTTATCCGGTTTTTTACCTCAAATCTAAGCCCGAATATGAGATTGCATTGATTGCTATCCGGTTCCAGTCCGGTCCCAATCCGGGTTATACGGTCCGGTTTCGGGTAAAACCAAACAGTCCGGGACCAAATAGCCAGCCCTACAATAAGTCCCTTAAATATATTTTTTAGTGGGCTCCAAATGACACTATCAAAGCAAAAAGGAGAGTCAAGAAGTCAAAACCCTCATGGTTTCCTAAACGGTGCGTCGCCTAGCGTTTTAGTGTTAATTTAACTCCAAGTTGAGAAAATTAATGATGTACAAAAGAGGTAAAGCTGTCTAGTTTTGTGGAAAATAGTGGGTTAGGCGGGAAGTCATTTCGCGATATCCCAAAAAAAATAACACAAGTTGGCTGTTTAATAAGAGATTAAAAGGGCGATATAATTGGAGGACCACAGTTGAAAAATGCCCAAAATAGTTACATGAACCAACAAGAAATAACAAATTCGGAACTTAAGATGAACAATCATGTTTATTTTATTGTTTGGTAATAACAAAACAAGGAAACAGCATTAAGGTTATTTATTTATCGTAAATATTGATTATCACATGTAAATAAATAAAATCGTAAAAAAGTTTATAAATATTTGTGAAAATCAATTATATATGATTTATTTGTTTGTTAAATATTTCTTAAACGTATTTCATTAACATTCAGAACTTCATCCAATAACTATTATGCGAATTCTAGCTTATATCGACAAATTTATTGTACACATCGGTATCAAGTCTCAAACAACCCCACTTGGGCTTTGCTCATTATACCCCCAACAACATCCAAATCGATAATGTACCAAAAATATGTTATTCATTAAAAATCAGTATTGTGTTAAATTTGCGTTTTGGTCACGACTCACGACTGACAGTGGGGAAGCCAATTTGTAAAGGCGAGAGAGGTTGGTTTGGGATTCGATCCGTAAATATATAAAATTCATTTATTTATCATCATCAGTCCCCATCGGATTTCGTTATTCATCTCCAAGGCCACATATAAAACATTACCCGCTGCCCAAATTTCGAAAAGAAAAGGGGTGAAAAAGCCGGGCGAGCGACGGCAGCGGTAACGGCGGCGGATTTCTTGTAGCAGAGCAAAACAATTTTCAACGCGCTCAACAACACACCACGACTACGAACAACTCCGACGACGACCGCTACTAACTTTCCGCCACTGTAGCTGACCGAAAACTTCTCTTCATCCTCTCTTTCCCCCGAAGGTACAATCTCTCTCTTTCCCGCTCGCCGGCGGCCTCTCATCTGTACGGAAGGTAGCCGTCTCGGATTCCGATTTCGAGAGACGTGCGAGGTTTTTTTTTCTCTGCTTCGGCGTTTGTTTCGTAGAATGCTTTCACTATGAGATCTGGAAACGATGGCGGAAATGAGTGTTTGGTTAGACGGAAAGGACGCTGTGATAACAGCTGCTATGCCGATTCAGTTCCGTTTACGTGTTATTTATTGGATTTTTACTTATTTTTGTTCATTGCCTTGTTGACTTCTTGTAGTTTCTCATCTCTTTTGCGTTTCGTTTGCTAGCTTGTTTTGGAGGTTTTGGATTCTGGAAATTGTTGCTTACGGTAACGTCAAATTGGTATATAGTGATTAGTGATCTCCTTCCTGTGTTCTGATTTCATCAGGATTTGTTTTAGTTTCAGAGCCATCTCTGCTCGTTAATGAGGTGCTCAATTTTTCTCATGGGAGATTTTGCTGTTACAGGATTTTTTTTCGGTTTGATCTTTTCCGAAGTTCCTGATAGGACTAGATTGCTTTCCTTTTTTGGTCCGTCTTGGGTTTATCTGTTGACTTTATGAGTTCTTTACGCCATTGATTTCTGATGGTATACAATAGTGAATAGTTGATCATTAATGGAGGGTGTAGATTGTGAATATTTTTGGTCCTAAGAGTTTTGATTGTTAGAAAGAAATGGAAGAATATCGATAATGGTGGATTCTTCTGTGTTTCTTTCCCCGTTTTGATTTGATTCAAAGACGTTGGAGTTATGTTTTGTGGTTTCTTTACTTGTTTTCGTGTGGAGATCGCATTGTTATGTGGAGCGTGCAACAAAGCTGGATTTGGTTGGTGTTTGATCATTAACAGCTGAAATTCCTCTGTTTTGTATTGACAGGTTGAAGGGAACAGTGGCGTTCAAGGGTTATGAGATCTGATTGTTGAGAGGAACTGGTTATCTTTCAGGCATTATGCATGTCTGATCCAGTGGCCACCGTGGTTGATGTGGCAAGAGGACTGAATTTGGCTGACAGAACAAAATCAATTGATGCAATATCCAGCAGAGACTTCTCATCTCTATCTGTCAACGGGGAAGTACTCCACAGCTTCTCTGAGAGCGCCTCGTTTAGAATCGGTGAGCTGTTCCTCACCAACGGGGAATCTTATTTCGGTTCACTGCTGGGAAATGTACCGGAGGGTAAGGGCAAGTATGTATGGTCAGATGGCTGTATCTATGAAGGCGAATGGAGACGTGGGATAAGGAGTGGGGTTGGGAAAATCCAGTGGCCTTCCGGAGCAGCCTATGAAGGTGAATTCTCAGGTGGTTATATGCATGGTGCTGGTAGCTACATAGGTGCAAATAACATTACATACCGAGGGAGATGGCGGTTGAATGTCAAGCATGGGTTGGGCTACCAAGTTTACCCTAATGGAGATGTCTTCGAAGGTTCTTGGCTACAAGGAACGCCAGAAGGACCCGGGAAGTACAGCTGGGCTAATGGAAACGTCTATATGGGGAACATGAAAGGAGGGAAGATGACAGGGAAAGGGACTTTCACTTGGGTGAATGGGGATTCATTTGAAGGAAGCTGGTTAAATGGTATGATGCATGGATTTGGAGTGTATACGTGGGATGATGGTGGTTGCTATGTTGGCACTTGGAGTCATGGTGTGAAGGATGGGAAAGGATCGTTTTACCCCAGTGGCAGTCGGTTTCCTTCAGTACAAGAACGATACCTCAATGCACTTAGGAAAAGAGGGCTGCTGCCAGATATGAGAAAGCAGAACCAAGCACATATACATCATGCTTCCTCAGTGGACATGGGGACTATGAAGGTTGGTAGAGATCAAAGGTCCCATCGTGATTCGTCTGGTAATTTATCCAAGGGAAGCTTGATGAGCTTGCAGCAGCAATCTCATAACAAAAATGTGTCGTTAGAAAGACGGTGGAGTCTCGAGGTATCGATTGAAAAGGTGATTGGACATGATTCATCGCTCGAGCCATCTGAATTTGATGGAGCTGGCCTTCCCCCGATCCTGGAAAGAGAATATATGCAAGGTGTTCTGATTAGTGAGATTGTACTGAATGATAACTTTTCATCAATGTCCAGAAGGGCAAAACGAAGGCAAAAGAAGATTGTTAGGGAGATCAAGCGGCCTGGTGAAACTATACTTAAAGGGCACCGTAGTTATGATTTGATGCTGAGTTTGCAGCTTGGTATCAGGTAGATGACACAATAGTGTTTGTTCCACATTTTAGCTCTCTTCCCGTGTAGAATGAATGCTGAATTCGGTGAGGTGTTATCAGGTATACAGTAGGGAAGATTACGCCTGTACACAAACGAGAAGTCCGCGCATCGGATTTTGGTCCAAGGGCGAGTTTTTGGATGCAGTTCCCCAAGGATGGATCTCAGTTGACACCTCCACATCATTCAGAGGATTTTAAGTGGAAGGACTACTGCCCTATGGTTTTTAGGTGTGTTATATTAGCCTTGAATTTGATATCATAAGAATCTTTCTGCTGTTCCATTTATGTTTCTCGATCTTGCATTGCTTTTCCAATGCTTAAACATACTGTTCTTGTATTGAATTGTAGGAATCTGAGGGAGATGTTCAAGATCGATGCTGCCGATTACATGATGTCTATATGTGGCAATGATGGTCTTAGGGAACTCTCTTCTCCGGGGAAAAGTGGGAGCATTTTCTTCTTGTCTCATGATGACCGCTTCATGATTAAGACACTCAGGAAGTCTGAAGTCAAGGTTTGTTTATTAATTCATGTGCTGCTTGTTAGTTCAGGAACTGTTTATTGGCTTCCAATGCATGCTGCTACAGACCTGAATGTTTTCGTCCTGAATGAATTATGATTCTGCAGGTGCTTCTGAAAATGCTTCCTGATTACCATCATCACGTGAGAACATATGAAAACACGCTCATAACAAAGTTCTTTGGGCTTCATAGGATCAAACCTTCAAGTGGTCAGAAGGTAAACTAACTATTCATTCTGGCCTTACAAGTTGTGTCCTTGCAGTCTTAGTTTATCAGTCTGATCTGGCTTTCTCTTGCAATTGCAGTTTCGTTTCGTCGTTATGGGAAACATGTTCTGCACGGAATTGAGGATCCATCGTAGGTTTGATCTGAAAGGTTCCTCACTAGGGCGATCCACCGAGAAAATAGAAATAGATGAGAACACTACTCTCAAGGATTTGGATCTGAACTACAGCTTCTATTTGGAACCTACCTGGCGAGAATCTCTACTAAAGTAACTACATCTATGGAATAACTACTTCTGTCGTCCTACAAATAATCTGATTCAAGAATTACAAGATTTACCGTGCTAATCCGAACAGGAAATGTAACTTCCATTTGCAGGCAGATAGAGACAGACAGCAAATTTTTGGAAGCTCAGCACATCATGGATTATAGCCTTCTATTAGGTGTGCATTATAGAGCACCGCAGCACCTTCGACCCTTCACGTCACTACGGAAGAACGAAGGATTAGGAGTTTTGGCCGAGGAAGGTAAGCATCTCACTTGAGGCTCCCATAACATAACCAATTTCTATATAAAATACACCACTCCAGTTTACAAGTTTGCTAGTTGACTATTTTGCATTGTCAGATACCATCGATGATGAAACATACCCACAAGGTCTAGTCCTCATCCCTCGAGGAGAAGACGATGGCAGCGTCGTTGTTGGTCCTCACATCAGAGGCAGCCGACTGAGAGCCTCATCTGCAGGTGATGAGGAAGTTGATCTCCTTCTTCCTGGAACTGCAAGGTATTGTAGCAACAATAACACGTGAATTTTGAAAATCTATGAATTTTCATAATCCATTGGCATTTTCGGGTTCTCTTAGTAGTAGATTATTAGTTGTTGCTGTTAACCCGAAACCTCTTGGCACGCAGGCTTCAGATCCAGCTTGGGGTGAACTTGCCAGCGAGAGCGGAGCAGACTACAAAAGATGAAGCAGGGGAAAAGAAGTTCAATGGAACTTACGACGTTGTTCTTTACCTCGGCATAATCGACATTCTCCAGGAGTACAACATCAGTAAGAAGATTGAGCACGCCTACAAATCTTTCCAGTTCGATTCGTTGTCTATCTCAGCCGTGGATCCAACATTCTACTCCAGGCGCTTCCTGGAGTTCATACAAAAGGCATTTCCTCCAAATGCTGTCGCCCTCTAAGAAGCCATTCCCTCCATCTTCCTTCCTTTCTTTCCCAGAATTTTGTTTTGGGTCGAACTGATTGGCTCATTAGCGACCACTACGAATCATAATCGTGCAATGAGTCACAATTGTTTAGACTTGTACATTCCGAGCTTTGTACAAAATGACTGATCGAGCACTATATATATGCATTATAATTTTATCTAACACCTCACTCCTGCTGTTAGAAATAGAGGTGATCATCGTGGTCATTGACGATGATCAATGGCAGAGATACAACAGCCTCTTGGTAAAAAGTTTAAACCGCAAATCGCAACATTCAGACATGATGACTAACAGCTTTGAGGTAAATTGTTTAACCATGAATTTACCAGCAACCAAAACAAGGGGTTTGTTCTGAAAAGAACCAAAGCAGAACAAAACTCGACACTTCGCTTAAGCTAAGTAGTACAAATGCTTGTTATCCTATGATACAAACTTATCCCATATTGGGTGGAGGTGGAGGAGGTGGATGGGCACCTTGCCCTGGGAAACCCTGAGGCATCGGAGGTCTGCCCATCGGAACACCATGACTGAAGTTTCCCATCGCGCTGCCGCCTGGAGGTGGAGGCGGAGCTGGTGGAGCTTCCCCTGGAGGCATGGGTCTAGGGCCGTTCCCCATAAGGGGCGGTGGTGGAGGCGGTCTTGCTCCATCGGCAGGAGGCGGGGGAGGTGGTAGACCCTGCGGTGGTGGCGGTGGGAGAGTCCTTGGAGGGACGCCAGGTGCCGATGTGCCATTGGCTGTTGCTGCCCCTGCAGCTGGAGGTTTGTTGGTCTCCGGTGGCTTCGTCTTGAAGTACAACTGTAGCTGTACATTGAGAACAGCGTTGTCATATATCAGAGAACTGTATAATTATCGCATAGGTCGGCATTTACAACTAACTAGAAGAAGCTTACAGTGAACATCTTGGAATCGGGATCCCAATGCGAGAAGAACTTGGGAGTTGACTTGTCGATCTCTGTGCTGGGGACCTTGAATGCCACGATCTCATATGGTTCTGCCGCAAACAGAAGATACTGGTAGCTCTTGTCATAGGATTGGACTTTCTGAAATATGCGGAGAGCATAACACAAGTCAGAATCTTCTCAAATTTGAACTCCGATCAATCAACTGTTAACGACTATATGATACCTTCATACCTGCTCATAAGATGACATGAACCTGTGCCTTGGCTTTGTGTTGTCTTCAATTTCGGGATACTCAATCTAAAAAACATCCAAATGAACCATTATTAGCACAATTTACAGTGCAGGAATAAAGTTGATGACATAATGTCCTCTGGTTAGGGTTAGGAATTGAGTGAGAATAAACAAAGTACCTGAAAAAGAAGAGATCTCTGCTTAGTCTCTGGATCAAACTGCTTGGTCACACGATACCCAGGTCTGCCGATTTTGACTGCAAATAGGAACCAATAACACGAATCTGTCAACTATAAACACCATATGCATTTAACACCATAAATTCCACAAGAAGTTCAATTCTAACAACAAATTTATTCCCTCAACTAGCATCAAGACCATTCCCCAAGTTATTCGAGTTCAATAACCGAAACCAAGCCTCAAGCTCAATTCTGCACGTAACCCCCCTCCCCCCCCCCCCCCCCCCCCCCCCTACTTTTGAAAATGACAGTTCATATCCATGAATGCATCTTAACTTTCACTGCCTACCATTCTTCTACCCACTACAGAAACCAGCTCACCAAAATCCATCCTTTCTGGTGCACGCTAATCAAGCCAATCAACTGAATCCCAGCTCCTAGGAATAACCATTCCACACTAACTATTAACAAACAAGCAACTCCACAAAGCACCCCACTGACTCACAATCCAACAAATCCCTAATTCTCAAAACCCTAATTGAAATGGAGAATCAAGGGGAAAAGCTTATAAATTTCAGAAGGAAAGAATGAAATTCCTACCTGTCTTGCGAATGTTAACTTTGCGCTTGTTAGGCTGGGGGAGCGCGGGAGCTTCCTTGGCCTCGCGAGCAGCTCTCTTCGCCAAATTGGTCTGGTGACGCTTCCCTTGTGTGTGAGCCAAGTAGTTCCCTTCATTGTTGTGCAAAGTCAGACACAGCTTACACTCATAGCTACAAAATCCCAACCGGATCAGCAAGAAAACAAGCTCCAAACAAACCAAAATCTCCATTAATCAATCAAATCCAGTCACTCTTTCGTCGAGAAAGAAGATGCGCGCGTTACCTGCCGAGGTGGTTGCGCATGAAATAGGGATCTTTGGCGAGATCGATGGTCTCGAGGGCGAGTCGCCGGAGACGCTCCCGTCGGTCGATGGCCTCGTTCTGGGAGGAGGCGGCGCCTCCGCTTCCGGGCTTCGAGCCCCATTCTCTGTCCATGGCTGCTTTTCTCTGTCGTCCCTTTGCTCGCACTCTCGAGTGAAAGAGGACGACGAAGGACGAAGGAATGAACGGCAGAGAGCGATAACTGACGGTCTGATAAATGGCGGTAAAGAATGGACTACTCCGTGAAGGGCCCAAGTTTGAGCCCAGCCCAATATCTTTGAAAGAAAAAAAATCCGAACCCAATTAGGGCATCTAGCCCAGAAGGCCTGGGAATGACTTTTAAGGGATTAAAGAATCTGCTTCATAATTTGTCAACTCCAAATAATTCAATTTAAAGAGTGTTGAATCAAATCAAAGGTGGGGGACTATGAAATTCAATAAAATTGTGGGACAGGCTGAAGTCTAGATAAAAGGCATATAGCCGACAATAATAGTCATTTAATTGTATTTCTACTGCTAAGAAATTACAAGTTTCAATTATTATTATATCATTATTGATGATTTTGTTTAGTGAGCGGGTAATGACCTATTTCTATATAGCGTAGGAATATACGAGACGGTACTTTGAGAACTCATTTGTTCCTCTATTCACTTTTTAATATGTATGTATGATGCTTACCAACTAATTTTTAGATGATTAATTTGCGATATAAGGGATAAAGATGACAGTAGCAATATTATTAATGTGTATAATCTAATAGAAAGTAGTCCACATAATTATGAAATGCAGGTTATTGAACTTGCGTGCTTTTTGTTCTAGCCTGTCAAAATTAAATCTATAAAATGAATGAGATTCCTATTTCCTAATCCTAGCTAGTGGATCGAAGAAATGAAGGGGAGTAGGGTTGAGGGCTTAATCATTTGTGATTAACAAGGATTAATCAACATAAGTGCACTCGCTAATCACTGTGTCTGGCCTACTTTAAAACATTCACATTCGTGTTTATGCAGTTAATCACTTAATCCTACTCCTTATGGCTCAATTCGTTTTGGGAAAATCGTATACAGAAAGTTGCTTAAGTTGCAGCTTAGGGCAAACCTAAAAGTGCACCTTTGATGAAGTGGCGTCGTAAGAGTGGGCTGATCTCAACAGTTCGCCAACTTTGACCAAATTATCAGTCTACTGTGACAGCAGCTCATCACCTGCCGTTGTTTTTACAGTTTTACTGTTATACGGATCATTCAACGACTGTAAAACTTATAATGTTTACCAGAGAACGAAGTTAATAGGATGAAAGGTGATCAACCGATAATTCATTTTAAATCGTATTAATCCCGACTTAAAATGAATCTTATCTCGAAACATTTATAGCATTATTACTAAAGAGCATGTCACATGAACACAGAATCGTGATAAAATATTGAGTTCCCCCAGGAAACAGCATCGCGTGCACATTGTGAAACAACAACAGTTGTTAATGATGAGACGGGAAAATAATTAAAAGCAAAGAAAACAGGACGGAACAGAATAGAACAGGAGGAGCTTGGGAAGGAAGAAGAAAGTAAAGAATAACGTTGGAAGGATGCTCTGCTCACTCAGGTGGGCTTCCTCCCCTTTCATTTCTCCTTCTCTCTCTCTCTATCAAGCTAGCCGTTTTCTTCATCTTTAGCTTCTCCTCCTCTCCTTCACTAAAACAATCAGAAAGCAGAAAACTTTGATGCCAATACAACCTTCCCTCCTCCTCTCCCTCTCCTTTTCCAATATAGATACATTACCCACATTTCCCTTTCACTCTACCTTTAATAGGGAGAGAGAAAGAGTAGTCAGAGAAACCCTGAAGAGAAAAGGAAGGTCTTGACTCCCTCCTCTAATCATCATTTAGACAGACAGAGACGTAGCAGCAGGGTTAGAGTTGTTGGGAGAAAAGATAAACAAAAGAAAGATTTTGAATTTGGAAGGAGAGAAAAAGTTTGGCTGATTGCTGTTGGAATTTTTTGGGTTGGGAATGGGATCTTCATCAGGGCAAGGTTCAGGTGGTGGGTATGATCTATCATTCAAGATCCTGTTGATTGGAGATTCTGGTGTGGGTAAAAGCAGCCTTCTTGTCAGCTTCATTTCCAGCTCTGTTGAGGATATTGCTCCCACCATTGGTAAAATACTGAGAGCACCCTTTCTGTTTTCTGAGCTTGATCGGTGAAATTGGGGATCTTCATTGGTGAATTGTATCTTCCACTTAGGACTTGGGTTTTGTGTGTTTCTTTCCCCAATTTGCAGCAATGTCAATTTGTGTAACCTTATGCTGTTTGGTTTATCATCTGAAGGTGTGGACTTCAAGATCAAGCAACTAACTGTAGCTGGGAAGAGATTGAAGCTCACAATTTGGGATACTGGTATGACTGATTCCTAGGCAGTTACTTTGTTTATTCCAATTCTCTTGGTTTTGGTTTTCTGCACTGCACTGCAATGCAATGCAACAGTTACTATGCAATTTGGACCACTGTACTTGTTCTTTTGTGGATTGGGAGAGTTATGCTGTGAAAAGGAGCTTTGAATGAGCTCAATTAATGATCTGTTCAAACCTTTATCGCATTTTGGACCACTCCTCTTTCACATGCGACATTCTGACAAAGGAAATGGGGATTTGCAATTGTGATGTGTAATTGAAAGGACATTTTCGTTTTATTTCAGCTGGGCAGGAGAGGTTCAGGACTCTAACCAGCTCTTACTACAGAAATGCCCAAGGAATCATTCTTGGTAAGCTATTTGACTGTATCAACTCTTTTCCTCATATGATTATGCTTGTTGCTTAGTCGAAAGGCCTACATGAATGGATGTGATTTGGTAGAGCAGAAATTATGCTTGTTGCTGATGGGTGTGATTTGGTAGAGCAGAAATTATGCTTGTTGCTGAGTTGAAAAGCTATATGCATTACTGTGATTTGGCAGAGTATATGTTCACCTAGGAGTTTGATATTCGTTAGTAAAATAGATAAGTTTCAAATGTAAACCTTAATCCTTTTATAGTATCACCAGGCTTAACCATAACTAGTTACAATGACACCAAATTCCTCCATGAACTCCTAGCATAGCCCTCAAATAAAGTCGTACCTTACCTTCAGACTCCCCAATTACAAGTATCCTTATCAGCTGTTGTTATGATTATTAGCAACTTCTGATAACCGTACTGCAGTTTACGACGTGACTCGGAGAGAGACATTCACAAACCTCTCAGATGTGTGGGCTAAAGAAGTCGAGCTTTACTGCTCAAATCAGGACTGTGTCAAGATACTTGTTGGCAACAAAGTTGACAAAGTAAAGTTGCTAACTTTGGTTTTCATCTATAATGGTTTTGTACCAATTTCCAAATCAATCCCATTCCTCATTTCCTGTATGCCTGATATTTTCAGGATTCTGAAAGGGCTGTGACCAGAGAAGAAGGCATGGAGCTTGCCAAAGAGCACGGATGCTTGTTCCTTGAATGCAGTGCTAAAACTAGAGAGAATGTCGAGCAATGCTTTGAGGAGCTCACCCTGAAGGTAACTTAGATAATCGCATTTCTAAAGCCTCATAAATGCAGGAAGCTTGGTAATAAGGTCTGGCGATGTCCTGGTTTTTTTGCAGATAATGGAGGTTCCTAGTCTGTTGGAGGTAGGATCTACAGCAGGAAAGAGGAACATTCTAAAGCAGAAATCGGATCAACAAAGTCCTCAAAGCGGCAGCTGTTGCTCTTGATGATGTGATTGATGGATTTATGTATAATGGGTTTGTTGTTTGTTTGTTGTTGAATGTTTGATTCACTTTGACCCAAAATCCATCAAACTGAATAATGTATATGAGATCAGGCATTGTTTCTTTATTTCTCTCTGTTTGTGATTTCAAGGGTGCCTTTTGGAGAGTTTCTGATTAGTTTGTAACATTGCCAGAAAAAAGGGAGTTAGAGATAGAGAGTGGACTAAGAAGTGTAACATATACTAGATTGTGTACATTTGGCTATGAATTCTACTTCTTGGTCAATGCATTCCATTGGTTCAGTTAATGCATGCCAATTGCCAATCATGTTTCTTGCTTGTTCCTTCCCAGTTGAGTGGGCATGGAACTCCATCAATCATGAGATTCCTAGGACTTGCCACCAGCATGTCAAGTTGATGGTGGGCAACAATTCATTCCAATCTGATTTAAGTCAAACCAAAACAGTGATAAAGTCGATCTAATCTGATTCAAATATCTTATCGATTAAGCTCAATTGCGGATCGGTTTCCCACCCCATCTCGAGGGATAGCATACCGTGTTTGCTTTGTATGAGCATGAAGAACAATGGTTCTGAGTTATCAGGAACTTCATCACACATTGGGTTGGACTTCAAATATCAAATTAACATTCACATATGCCCTTTTGCCTAGCAACTCCTAACAAACAACCAATGGAGAAAATTTCTCTTCACCGTCAATCTAATCTCGAAAGCTAATTCTGAATTCAAGGTTCTCAAAGTATATAAACAAAGAAAGAAAAGAACTCAACAAACATAACGGAGGTACAGGTCGCAGCATATGTGATTCCAGGTTAACTCCAGCTCGTTGCTGATCATGCGCTTAGACAATGCTCGAACTGCAATCCACTCTCCTTCGGGTACCCCATAAATCTTTCACAATGGAAGCTTGATTGAGAAAAAAATACTCACACTGCCAACTCAGCAGCTTCCAAGATTCTCCTAGCTTCTGTCTGTGGCTCAGCCAGCTCGCCCGGAGTCTGCCATTATCGATCAACCACTCGGAATAAGCAAACCCATCGACAAGGGAGACTTTCGCGAATTCATCGAACAATATAAATAATGTGCAAACCTTTCCATATGAGTTTGTCCGAGTGACTGGAGCACCGGCAGCCAGCAACAGGTTGACAATCTCCGTGTGTTCACCTCTAGCAGCATGATGGAGTGGCTGCAAAAGAGAAGAGGGTGCAAAGTGAGTTCAAACAGTCACTGTAGCCATGAACTGTTGAACTTGGTGAAGGTACAAGCATACGCTATATCATTAGTTTGACTGAAACAACACATGACTTCTGAGTTATAGATTAAGAACAAGTTCTACACATTCACATTATATGGTCACTCACAGTATCACCCTCATCATCAACTGTTAATAGCATCCTCTTCACAGTCTCATCACCACTTGCATGGTTTAGCAAAACCCGCACTATCTCAGTATACCCTGCAATGGTGTGATAAACGAGCAGCAAAAACAAATAAGAACACCATCCATCCACTTCACAGATAAAGAGTCTTCAAATAGTAGTCGGGTTACCTCCGGCACAAGCATCGTGTAGAGGAATTGCACCGTCTTCGTCCTTAGCCTCTACATTGGCTCCCTTCTCCAAAAGCACCTAATTCAAGGAATGACAGATTCATCAAAATCTCATACATTAGAAGGGCAACAAACAGCATTCGGAGATCAACAAAAGCTAGCTACGAACCCTGACGCAGCTCAAGTGGCCATACAGACACACAAGATGAAGAGCTGTGTCGCCATCTTCCAATGGTTCATCAATGTTGCCATCAAAATTCTCTGCACCAACAAGATTAAAGCATCAATTAGACATTTTCACATTTGATTCCTCCATTGCATGGTTTCATTCGGTCAAAATTCTGAGTGACCCCAATCAGCCCTAGGGTTTCAATTTCATCCACAATCAGGGACGGACGAACAACTACTCAGAAGAATCGAACAAAAACTCCACCAAGAACAAAAGAAAAACCAAAACTTTCGGCGAAGAATCCGTCAAACGAACCTAAGGCCTGTGTGAGAGCTTCGGCGTCGCCGGAGCGAGCCGCCGAGAGGATTGGCTGAAGAGGCTCGGACAAGTCGAGGTCAAAGTCGACAGTGTTCTCTTCCTGAAACAGGGCGTTGTCCTCTTCTTCGCTGTCTTCCTCGTCGATTAAGTCCTCCCGGTGAACCGCCATGGCTGTGGACTGTGGTGGAGCTTCCGCGGCGTCGCTTATTCTCCTCTTCCGTCAAGCGGCGGTGGTAGCCGTAGGTAAGGAAAATTTACGGCGACCGTCGAGTTTCCTGGTGAACGGATTCCCGTAGGGTTGTTCTGCCGCCGCCTGACGCGCTACTTATTTTTTTAATTTTATTTTCGGTGCCAAAATCGCGAGAGTACACGTAATTCGATCACGTGCCCGCTGTCCATAAAGATGATGGACATCGGCTTGGGCCTTAAGTTGTGGTCGGTATAAAGTGGGCTTGGACTTTCGTCCAGTCGGTGGGCCAAACTAGTCCAGACTTTTCATCAGGCATATCCTACTTCGATGAATATATGTTCCTTAACCACTGTGCGATAGTTGATCGTCTCGTATTACGGGTCAGATCCGGTCCTTAAGCCTCCTTTCTTGAGGAGGATCTTAAACCTATTCCAGCCAATAGAAAAAGGAGAGAGATAATCATTATTAATCATTGGATAACTACCTATAAAGACATGAATGGAATATATTAAAAATTAATGATATTAATAATGGAAATGGAAATCGAAACCCTATCCCGTTTCCTCAAACCGCTGCACCTCTCTCTCTCGTCAAAAATCCGGCGGTCGTTGACTCCTCTCTCTATCATCGTTTCCGCCGGTCGTTCACCTCCGCTCCCTCCCACCAGCCCAGCCCTATTACGCCTCCGTCACATAAAGCCGTCGTTGCAAGCGATCGTCGAGCCGAGCCATTGGCTGAAGGCGACTGGGAGGAATCATCTTCCGTGAGGCGGCTCCGGCAATGAAGGATCGGAGATCCACCATTTGCTTAATACATTATTAACGTCCTTTTCCATTGTTAACATTTTCTATGTAACCTATCGTTTCTATGTAACCTATCAACGATTGCAGAGCTATTAATAATAATTTATCATTAAGGATTTTGTAATCAGTTTGTAATTTTTAATTGTCACCTTATTAATATTTTTATAAGTATTATTAAATTTTTTTCTCAATGATTCGCATAGCTAATGTGTTTGTTACCAATGCTCAGTTAGTTACGTTTTGTTATAGGTTATTAGTTTCATAAAGTTTATTCCCTTTCATAACATTATTAATAGGTCTATGATTGAATGTTAATAATAGTATATAAGAGTATTATAAGAAGCAAAAAGAAATGGTTAAATACAATTCTGATGATCGTACAACTTAATTAATGATATGTTGTATAGGTTGATAATAGTATATTATTTGATTAATAGGATGTTTAAAAAAGCGTTAATAGTCTAAAATCGGAAGTTGAAAAATATGAGTTTTTGTTAATATCGTGACCCCTTAATGAACACCTTCTATTGATATGTTGTATAGGTTGATAAAAGTATAGTATATTATTAATAGGAGGTTTAGAAAGAAGAGTTTTATTAACAAAAAAATTGTTTCAATTATTAACTTTTTGTGAGAGATTATGAACCTTACATTCTATGTTCGTTAATCTTGACAATGTTCATTATTAACATTGGAAAACGGTGGTAATGTTTTTGTATATTGTTGATAACGTCATCCAAGGTAACGTTATCAACTTTTATAATATGATCTATCAACAAACCGTTAATAATTGAAACAATTTTGTTAATAATGTTATTGAATTGCAATCATAAGTCAAACAAAAAATATAATAATAAAAGATCTTATGGGTATGTATATTAGCCATTTTTGTCATTTTTATTAACAAAATACATTTAAGAATGATAATCATCTTTGATATGTTAACAGCATTATGATTGGTTTCGTATTGCAACGTTGAAAATGACAACCATACAACATTAACGCGAAATATAACTTCATACATGTGTTCATCATTCGCGGAAAAGCGTTAAAATTCTTTTTAATTTCATTAATGATTACATATTAAAACATTAATAACAAATTTTTCGTTAATAATGGCATACTAGAACATTGTCAATAGAGTAAAAACATTGCAAACATAAACGTTAACAAAACCTCCAAAATTATTACTACTTTCGCATTACAACTTTGATAATCACAACCACTCATTATCCACACCAAATTACTAATAACCACGTTGTCATTATTATTAATGAAATACTGTCACTTTTCAAAGGGAGTCTAAGAGAATGATGACGGCCAGGTGTGCAAGCGGGATGGCGGCGTCACAAAAAGCTGCGTCGTCGGGATGTCGGAGATGCTAGAACTGTAGCGGCGGGATGATGGCGGGATGGCGAAGGTTCTAACGGCGGGACGAAGCTGCTGCCGTGAGGAGAGCGACTGCTGGAGTGGCTGCAGGAGAAGGGACGACCGGACGGAGAACTCGGGACGACCGAACGGTTTGTTCGCTTGCAGGAGGATGAAGAAACAGACAGCGGGACGGCTCGAATTGCGGGAGGGAAAAAGAAAGAGAAATGGGTTGGGGTTGGGGTTGGGAAAAGAAAGAGACGGCGGTTTTTAATTTAATTGTAGTCTCCTTAATACCCCTAACAACTATTTAACTAATAACTCCCCACTAACTACCTAAAATTGAGTTAGCCAATCACAAGGCTTTAAGATCCTCCTTAAAAAAGAGGTCTTAAGGACCTGAACTTAGGCCCTCGTATTACGGATTGATTGTCTCACGTCTAAATACGAGGTTAGAACGTTGAACTCTTTTCATGAAATAAAACTTTTTCTATAAACTGGCGCTCACTCATCCATTATCGAAGAAAGTTCCAAGTTGCTGAGTGTTACGAGAATCAAGCCATCGTAACTGTTGGGCCTCGATCTGGGCTTGGTTATTTTATTATTTAGTATTTTAATTATTCATTGTCTTAATTAGTAGTTTCTTTGTCTAAATAGGATTTGGTTGTTGTTAGTTATTTTCTTATAGGAGTAATAGTCATATTCTAGATAGGAGAAGGTAGAGGCTTCTGCGCCTATAAATATGTATTTGGTCTTTCGTTTAATGGTATGTTGAAGATTGGAACCCAATAATAGTTGTAGTTATCTTCATTCCTCTAAATATTCTCTTCGTTCTAACTATCTTTCTTACAAATATCTTTCAACATCAACGACGCAGGTTATGTGAAGGTTCTCACCGGAGAAATACACGTAACACTGAGAAAACCCATTCCATGACGACCTCACCTTTTCTGTTGCTGGCTGTGGCTGATGGATGCTGGCTTGTGACGTCGCCAGCTCGATCTTGCCTAAAACTTGGGGGGAAAAGGTGCAATCAATCACTGCTCTTGCTAGCCAGCCAAAAGCCATTCTACTTTGCAGAGTCTGCTCTCTCTTTCTCGCTCTCTCAGTCTCTGACATGCAGAATAAAATAGTAGTGGTATGGAACCCTATCGTCAATCATTCCTGGCCATGAATGGTGGCGCTAGCTGTATCCTCTCTACGTGATGACATTAATCATTCATAATATACGTAACGTACCCTTTAAATTAAATGTTCCTCTCATTAGTACAATTAATATTCTATTCTTCTCTGGACTCTATCAAAAGGTACACATCATCACATGTTGGAACTTTGGATTGGATCGCAGCTAGCCAGCCAGCCATTCTTCATTGGAATTGACAAACGTCAGAGGAGCAGAATGCCCAATGAAGAACATGCTAACAGAAAAGAGAGGATTTTTTTTTGTTTATTTTCAACGGTCGAGCTGCTGGCTGTCGTGAGTTGTGATGGCGGCGGTGGTTTCTGGTCTGGCTGTGATGAGTTAGCGTTGCTTGTTCCACACTCCATCTGCAACTTGCAAGCAAACGTTTCTTGCCCAGAACTGGGCTCCGCCGCCGGGGTAACGTAAGAGTGACGGAGGAGGCGATGTTCTACCGGATTATGTTCTTTTCCTTTCCGTTACCTCTAGCTAGCTAGCCATTCATTATTGTTGCCCAAACCATTATAATAGTAATTAACAATACACTACGAAAGTAAATGTTCAATATGTACTATTAAAATGTTACGTACAGTCTAAATTCTAACGGATCAGCGTGCTGGTATTGAAGTGTTGATCAATCCGGATTGATCAAGTCGGCTAGTCACATTATGTTGCCGATTAGGTCAATTGTTTAATTACTTGTATTCACTATGAATCGAAATTTATATCAAAGCATTGAGGTTTTAGATTTGTGTGCACATTTTGATTAAGAAGAAAAATAAAGTGGTATACTGAAGGAGGATTGTGTTGTAGAACAACCTTAACTTCCTTGCTTACATCAAGCAATAGTGAAGCCACCTAAAAACAAAGCCACTTACACAACAAATTTAGTTAAATTTTTAGCAACCCAATATCTAATTCATCAATAATAGATGTAGTGTAATTACAAGAGAACATAGTGTACAAGAGAGTATAATCAATAAGAATTTTATGTTCTTCAATTTGGAAGAATTGATGATGATCATCATGATTATACATTACAATTAGCGAGAAATATTAAACTAATTAATCCATGCAAGTTAAAAGAATTTGATAATCACAAATTTTACACAAAGAATGGTCATTTTAATTAACTTGGTGAATCAATTCATCACCAAGCTAATAAAAAATTAGAAGAGAAAATGAAAGTCGTCATTTTTAAAATTCAGAGATGGCAATCCACCATAGGAGACGCCGCCGTGAACACGAGCTGCAATCCTTGCGCCGGGAACCGGAACTTAGTATTCGTTTCCCTCCCGTCTACTCCGTCTTCTGGCGCCGGTAAATTGAGATCCAACTCCAATCCGTTTCTTACGGCGGTCATCGTCGTCAACGCCGCCGCAGGCGGCACCGGCACCACCGTCCTGTGCCGCCTCATGTGTCCTCCCAACGCCTGTCCTGACGAAAATCCCGCGCCGCAGATCGCACACTCGTGAACCTTACTCGGCTTCGCCACCGCCGTTGTCGCCGGAGGATTATTATGATCGTCGTTGACGGCCGCCGTACTCACAATTCGCAACGAGAGGGCCAATAATTCCGCTTCGCCTTCTTCTTCCCGCAATTTTTGATCCACGTTTCCAACCAAGACCTTGCTGCTATTCTGATTATTATTATTGTTGTTGTTTTCGTCCGCGCCTCCACCGTCGCCGCCGGCCGTCCTCGGCTTCTTGTGACTGGCCCTGTGCCCGCCGAGCGCTTGGAACGAATTGAATCCCCTGCCGCACGTCTTGCACTCGTAAACGAAAACCCCTCGTTGCTCCACCGCCGGCGGAGGGCTGGAGCTGCGGCGGCCCCGAGCCAGCAGAATCAAGCAGTTCGCCATGTCCTCTTCCACCGTACAGGTGCTCTGCTCGGAAGAGGAAGTCGCCGTGGAGGAGACGTCGGTCGTCACAGGCACCGTCGGCCGCGGCTGGAAAGGCAGGGGAGACGGCTGCCTCTGTCGCTTCGTCCGCTTACCTTTCACGACGACGTTCGAGCAGTCGCTGTCGTCGACGACCGCGACGATTTCTCGATCCTGTCCCGCTTCCATAACCATTTCCACCATGAAAACGTCGAGACTTGAAAACAGAGAAAGAGAGGAGGAGGAAAAGAGAATGTGAGAGAGAGGAAACGGTGTGAAGTTGTGTATTGTATTTGCGTGTTTGGGTAATGCTTGGAAGGTGTTCGACGAAATGCTTATATAAAAAAAAAGGGTGGAGAAAAGCAACAGAGTGGCGCTTGCTGCAGCTGTGGGTGGGCGGTAAGAGGGGGAGAAGGTGGTTTGGAGTGGAGGGAAGCGATAGTGAGATTCGGTTGGCTTTGAAGCAAACCCGGAAAAAAGAAAAGAAAAGAAAAAAAAAACTTATTATAGTTATTCCCCGTTGTGCAAGGCTGGAACCTCCCCACAAATTGCGGTTACTCCATTCTCTCCATACATTGTACTTTGAGAGGTTAGCCATGGGTTACTCGATCGGATCAAAGCGCACACTTAACAGGAGGCCGTTATTTCGATTAACAAAAAAATCGTTGTAAATGTGTCTCGAAAAAAGTTTGATCTAATTTACTTACCTGTGGGTCTTTGTTCTTTTCGCTCGATTGTTATGTATAACGCGGTGTAATTCGTCGATGTAATTTAGCTGCTGGTCATTCACATGATGCATTGCATAAAAAAAAAAAAGACTAACGACAGTACATTAGTACATGTTGCAATGTTTTCATGTTACAAACATTCTCACCAAGAAACAAAATAGTCATTGATCTAAACCGAACAACCTCTAAATTTTTATACTCGTAAACCTTTCTATAGAACTTTTCTCGTTATTAGTCAGACATAGAAAACAATCAAAAGGACAACCTATTCTTTGCCCTCTTGATGAGTTGACCTTCACAATACGATTCTCCTTATTGGATGCAATGAATCACTCATTGATATGATCCATCGTCGCCATGCCAACTTCACATTCACATTAGTGTGTGTGCTAATTAAGTTTATATATTTAGGGTTTAGGATGATGGATAATGAAATGGACGACCCAACAATTGCGCCGGCACTCTCCTCCCTCGGGCCCGACCGATCCCGCCAATTATTCGTTTTTACTTCCATACACACTAATTAATTAATAATGCACATGCTCTAATCATTTCGTTAACCTAATTAATCAACTAATTAAACTATCATGTTCTCCCTTTGCCAATCATTTGGGGGGTTTGGTATCGTGTGATTAATTCCCCTACACGTATAGCCGCCGGAAGTAACCTAGCTATTAGCCCGACTCTCACAAATCAATCATATGCTGCTCAGCTTCCAACAAGCTAGCTTGCATTCACTCCGCTACTACTAATATATTCCATCAAAATAATTCTAGAGTGTTTGAGAAATGCTAGCGGGCAAGACCACGCGACAGATCAACTATCTAGAAAATACAAGATATGATAACTCATATCTCGTCAACATGTAGTATGAACTTATATATGTTGAGGATTCATGACTTTTTCGTTGTTGGATCCACTACGATGTGATCATATTGTACATGTAAATTATAAAATTAAGTATTCCTAGTTCGGGAAAATGACCTATCATCAATCATAAAAAAAAAACTCTAACTTTGTGTTAAATACGAATATAAACCAATGATTTGAATCGTTACAGGAGGCTAGCTAAATGTCTAATTGTCCTACAACATACTTTAATTACCTCCTTTTTTTATGTATTCCAATTGTTTGTATTATTGAAAATGTGTTTTCTTTCCCACACATGATTGGCAATGAAAGGGTATGGAGAAGATGGATTGAGTAGTGTATATAGTTGGCAATAGCCAATAGGTGAAGACTGAAGAGAGGAATACTATTTTCAATAATACAAACAATACACACAAGAAGATTCTTGCCGTAAAGGGAGGATTTCAACAAATCCATCACAATACCCAAAAGAATACTTCTAATCAATACACTATACAAATGAATGTGGCATTGTGAGAGGCACGTAATGTAGGAATAGGAGCAAACTATATTTTGCCTGCCTGCCCTTTGCTAGGACCAAGCTGTATATATACTTAGCATCCTCAAAGCAAATTAAAGCATATCCATCGAATTATATTGCTTGTTTGTTAATAGAGTATATTAATAATTCCCTTCTATGATCCCAATGGATCTATAATGTAAGTGGCACAAAACTTTAGGGACGTTTGTTTTTTTAAGGGTAGGTAGTGACCTTACAACGTGCTGAAATAAGGGCAGCTAAGGTTCCTTTCTTATATGCTTAGGGCTCTTTGCTTGCTTGCTTGAGGGGATTGCTATTTCTCTCTTTCTTGGTGGCTATAATACACGCACTCCTACTCCACTTCTCTTCTCTTCCTTCCTTGCTTGTCTTCGAATGTTCAACTTAAACTAGCTACCTAGACTAGGTAGCTACTTCATATGACATTGTTCCTTCTATATTCCTTTCCCTCTAATTTGTTTCTCCATCGTGCTGGATGGGATTTAACATGTTTAATCGAGAGTGCGGTGGTTAATTGTTGCTAATCGGGACGCAAAGAATTATCGAGATGTAAGTATGAATACAGAGAATAAAAAGGAATATAATAGATCGAGTATCTGGGTGTTCAGACTCAGACCCTATGAGTCGAACTTACAAAGTCCATCGAAAAGTTCGCAACAGTGGCTCTCGAACTGAACCAAATATAAGGGATGGTTACTTGTTAGCCATCTCTAATTGTAGACACTTTTTGTCTCTCCGTGGATTTTGTCTCGCTACAAGTTAACTGTTTCATATTTTTATCTCTACATATATACCTTTCTCCCTTAATTACCGTTAATGTCGTACGAAGTGGAGTTTTAATGAGAACCCATGACCCTCATTGTTATTGTTCTAATTAAGCACAGTACTCTAACCAACTTGAATGTAACAACAATCTCTTACTCTTGTATCTTATTTTATGTAAGTTGAGTTGCACCATCATTGTAGCTCAAAAGCACTAGTGGTATCTTATAAACCTAATCAAATGGTCCAATGGAAAGGAAAGCAAAAGAAGAGCTAAGGGAATGTCCCTATTCCTAACATTCATTGGGATCACCTGCCGAAAAGTATCAAAGGATCGAATTCCTGAAGTGTTTGGTTGTGGCCCTAGCTGCTAGCCAAGATGAATTGGATCCATCAATGAGAAGGCATAAAAAGGGAAGAAAAGGGCACTAATAAAAGGGATTCTTTGCCGCCAAAGTCACATTACTATTTCGTCATCTCCGTCTAACATAAGGAATGATAAAAGGGAAGCCTTTTCAAAGAGGCATTTCCCACTTTTTTCGCAATATAACTGAAAGAAACTAATTCTCGTTGTGATGGAATGGAATGAATCTTTGGTTCTATTTTCCAAATCAAGGATTCCTTTCTCTAAGTTAGCTTATTTCCTATCAGCATGGTTCTTATCTACCCACCATAAAATACATGATCGAACCCAATTCTCACCAGAGTGTAATTACATAAGAACTTGCAATGTTGTGAGATAGATCGAATTGTAAGTCAAACCCATAAGATTGAATTTCGTATATATTTATCATAGATTATGTGTAGATAACCTGTCAAATATTTGATGGTTGTTGGCGAATATAATTATATACAATTAGTGGGGAAAAGTAGCAATTTCAACCTGGCCGCACCGTAAGCAGGCATGAGTTGGATATGTGTACTCTTCTCGACATGATATGTCCTTTTATCGACTCGACTCCCCTCCCCCCCCCCCCTCCCCTAAATTACATGTAATTGTACTGAAATTACTTAGAATTTTACTTTGATTGCCTCATATTTAAGCTATAGTAAAGTTATGAATAGATGAGAATCTCAATTTCTCGAACAATCCAATTACATTTATCATATGGTTTGCTTCTTGATTTTTTAATAAAATTCTGTTTAAAAGTTTCAATTTTCCCCCCTAAATTACATACCCATATCAGAATCGAACTGCCCGGCCCATAATAAAATATTCTACATGAACCCGACCCGACTTCTCACAGGACAGGACGGATATATCATATATGTGTCGAGTTCTCTCTCCTATTGTTGGGCCAAACTCGCTTGAGAGCTGGACAGCTTAATGGGCTTTATCTTAAATGACTATTGAGCCTATTGTGGTAGTCATGCTGACCTGAGAGTCTGAGACCTCTACACAGTCCATTCACCGCTACTCTTGAAGAAGAAGAAGGGGAGAAGCTGGGCTCATTCTCTTATCACGGCCCAACATATCTCTAAAACTATTATTTTTATTTATTTTATATAAATTATTAATAAAATTTGATGAAAGAGAGACAGATAGTATGACATATTGAGGCAAATAATATATATGTTTTCAACGAAAAGATATAGAAACTAAAATACAAAGATTGCTTCTAACTATTTGTCTCTAAAAGCAAATTTTGTTGTAGTAAATTACAAAATATAATAAGCATATGCAAATTTGATGATCATAATTAAATTCTGTTTGAGTGACTGGAGGTCGTGTCCATTACATATATATGCCGAGCCTCGAAACATGTTGGTTTGTTGAACAAAGATATTATGTTATATGCCCCTACCACAAGGACATGAGAGGATTAGTTTGTTTGATAGAGCGGATAAAATATAACATGCATTAAAATTCATATTTGGTCCTCTCTACAAGCAAACTGAGAATTATAGGAGAACAATTGGTTTTCTGACCAAAGTATTCGTAGTTGCGAAAACATTGGAGTGATGATCAATATATATTGTTTGGGAAAGGGATGGATTTAACAACCATAGATGATGGTGAATGATTTGAATGCATGATTGCAATGTGGTACAAGATGAGTATGAATTATTGCTTGCTCGTGGATGGATGGATGGGCCCTTCCATTTTTTGTGCTTGTTGTCTTGTGGTAATGACTAATGAGGAAGGTTGTTAAATCGGTTTGAGTAGTTGAGCCCGTAAATCAAATGGTTTGAGATTTATTAGTCGAATCGGAGTTAACCAATTTAGTCCATTTTATACATAATATAGAAAGGTAATAATTTAGAATTTTAATAATATACCATCCAACTAAAAATTGTGTGTATTTGCTTTGTTATCCATAACAGGATTTGAGAGACGACCAAAACAGAGCATTATGTATAAGAGCCCGAAACCAGTCAATCCAGTAAGACCACTGATTGTTTTGCGGTTTT